TTTATATTCGCAATACGAAGTTATTTATCATGTATACTATTAATTCGTTGATAACAACAATTTTAAACAATGCAACCATATTTCACAAATTTCTCAGCGGTAATAAATGTTGTAATCCGTTATATCTTCAAATATGATTTAATTCATCAACAGGCCGCGTGGTGCGCAAATACATCAAAATATTTCTTCAGTGTGTTCAGAATAATCGACAGGTATACATCCGAGTGTGTTCTATACTTAGAGAACTTTGTTATTCTCGCTATAATTCTGATCTCACTGTCTCGAAATTGATATTACAAATAACATATACGTAATTATCGAATACATAATTTTTTTTTCAATATTGCCATGGAACAAGTGCGTCGATTGCCGGTTCTTCGAGGCCCATTGACGTCGGCTCGTTACAATCAGTCCTTCAATCCAAACATTTGTCATATTTGCAAGGTGACAGATGATAGCAATTCGATAACATGTGATCACTGCCAAATGGTTATTTACTGCAGCCAGGAACACAAACAATTACATCAGCCGCAACATGAGCAATTCTGCATAGTTTTAAAAAAATTCTTAAGAATGGACCCGAGATGGAACGCTAGTCGATTAACTAAGGACGAATGGATTCAGTCGAAAAAGAAGATGATACCTTTAATTGAGAAGGAATTGTCGCGTGATCTCGAAGTGTACGAGATACTGATTGTCATGGACTCAAAGTTTTGTCTTATTTGTCATCAACAGGCGAATCTGCAAACATGCACGTCGTGCTATTCCGCCAACTATTGCATTGGACACGCAGAAGCATTTAAAAACGCCCATAGCTTTAATTGCGGTAAACAATTGTTATGCCAGTTGCTAGATATCGCGGTGATGAACAATCTTTTAAATTCATTAAAATTTACTCTACACTTTGATATATATATACCAGTTTTTGATATGATGGCATTTGTTCAAACACATGTGAAACCAGAATATTATAAGGAGCTAAAGAATAATGCGTTTCTTTATAAATATTTATTTTCTGAATGTGCATCAGGACCACTGACGCTATATCATGGATTGAAAGATACAAAGTTATTTAATATTTTGAATACTTTGAAAAATAATTACTACGTTATTCATATGATACGTGCAAAGTACTATGATAGATGTTATATTCGAGCTTTTGAACTTTTTTTGCATCTTTTACGCCATATACAGTATTTAACAATTGTAATAACAGATACGGGAACATCTACGGAATGTTTTAATATCAACGTTTGTGAGCGTTGTATAGAAAGTAACCGACATTTGAAGGTAGAGTCTTATTCTATGTCTTACTGCGATTATATATACAGTAATATGTATAAACGACCAAATGTGATTCTCGGATTTATGATAGATCTTAAAGATAATCTTAAATGGCCGGGAATGATTTTAAGTTTCCGTCAGCAAAACTGTCCATTGTTTTTAACCTCTAAATCCAAGCTTGTTGCGGAAAAATGTATAAGTGAATTAAACTTAGTTTTAAATACGCTAGTAATTCCTTTATACTTTGCCGAAAATAAATTTCCTTCCTTAATGCCGTGTAAAACCTTTGGGAGTGATGATGTAATATATCATAATAAGTATTTAATTATCTTTAAGAATTTACATTAATTATTCGAACACATGCAAATCATCTGAAGCTTATAAACAATATAAGAATTACAAGAATTATAAGAACTTTATAAGAATTATAAACAATTGTAGTCTCATTATGTTATCATCTTTATGAATAATATAAGAGATTACGGTTTGTTAGGCTGTATACATAATATAGACACATATACATAATATGATATATATAATGAATATGTGGCTAAACACTACACACACACACACACACATATCGGCTAAAAAATGTATTCTTAATTAAGATATAAGATTTATGCTAAAAGCACCTTTATTAATTTTTTAAAATTTGCTAAAAATATTTTTGTTAAAATTATAGATCGATATATATAATGACAAAAACTTGTGTATATTTCCATGCGATATTAAATGCGATCTAGCCTCTATGTTAAATATGTAATTGTAAAAATCTACTTTGACTTTTGCATGTTTATCGCATTGAAAAGTGTTGATTGAGAATCTATTTTTTATATCACTTCGCACAAAATCGTTTTATGGATAGTTGTTTATATATTCTACGTGCATGTCTATATTTTTCTAGAAATTTTGGATTTCCCATTGACGAATAAATTCGATAATATAGAGAATGTACAATATATTTATATATAACATAATGTATATAAATACATCACATTTATATTTATATATAAGCATCACCGAATATAATGGATTTATATATAAACAATATATTCATAAATAAAACATTTATTTACTTGTAAAAAGAAGTAATGTAATTATATATAAATACAACGATATATATTTTAATATCATATGAGTCTCTGAAGTTGTTGTAAGATAATATTACCGTTTCGTTTCCAAGAAAATAAGTTTAGATAAAAAATAACTTGTGAATATTATGAATTACTTCGTTCCGTATTTTTATTATGTATACGTATACATTGCATAATAAATTAAAATTATATATTATTCATATTTACTATATTTCATCTTTTAAAAATTTACATTACATGTAAATACATATAATGTAAAGGAGAAGATACTTATCTTTTTATTTTTTCCTTCTATCAAATATAACATCAACTTTGTTGGTAACAATGTTTCGAGGATTTGTAATTATTAATTCTTTTTTTGTTTTTATGATGTATTGAAATCAGTTTTTCGGAAAATTTTATATTTCATTGTAATAAATAGCAGATAGCGTGTATTTAGAAATTACTACCATCTCAAGATTCGTTTTTTATTACTCATCTAGTGTACTGCACATGTACAGAACTTGTAAAGTGACAAGTATGTAGTCGTGATTTATTAAAGGAAAAAGAAAAAGAGGACTAGTGCGCAAAGTAGTAGAACCAGTTCATAAACGCAAATAAAGAAACTTGGTAAACATGTTATATTTTAGATAAAAAGAAGTACATATGTAGTTGATCAGAACGATACTTTCACGTGAACTAGAAATATACAAATGTAAATGATAATTTTCGAAAAATTGTACATCCTTTACAGTCAAAATACGGACTTATACTCATATAAGTAACATTATTCTTCCGTGCATAAAAATTATGTATAATAAAACCTGTCATTATTCATAGCTCTTACTCTTTTGCGAAACATCCATTTATATAATATACTTTGGACATAAGTCTTTAAGTTAAAAATTACAAGAAGATATTTATATTATCAGAGTTTTTGATTTATTGAAACATACAGATGTGTACAATCTAATAGATAGATTGAAAGATAGATTGAAAAGTTTCCGACCTGCCTAAGAAAAAATTATTTGTGTGCGTGTTTGTGCTGAATGACATTTATTTCTCAACAAAGATTCAATTTATTACACTTGGTCCAGCATTTTTCTAAATCTATCATACTCTTAGTATAATAACTTTTGTCTAAACCCGAAAAATAGTCATTAACGGCACTTATTTCTTCAACACCCAAAAATTCTTTTTCCCAACTAGCCATGTGGAAACAAGAAAAATCTCACGCGACCAAATCAAGAGAGCACGGTAGATGGAATTAATTCGTACTTCAGTTCGTACAATTTCGTCATCATAACTACTGATGTGTGGACCGGTGTATTGTTCTGATGAAAGAGGATTTTCTTTTTAGCTAAATGATAATACTTATTCTGGATTTCCATGTCCAAACGTTGTAACAACCCAGTATAATAATCTGCTGTGATGGTTTTCCCTTTTTCCAAATATACAAAAATTATCCCAAGGGAATTCCAGAAAACTGTTGCCATCACTTTGCTAGCCGATGGGACTGCTTTCGTCTTCTTCGGAGTTGGTTTGTCCTTTGCAGTCCACTATTGTAATTGTTCTTTTGTCTTCGGAGTATAATGGTAGGTGGACTCAATATTTTTCGAAAATAACACTAATAAAACGGCGTTCAAAATCCTTTTTATCGCATTTACGTAAAACCCTTAAACACAATCGTGAAATGTCCAACCGATGTTTTTGATTAATAATGAGCAAACGCAGTACCCAACAAGCTCCCAGCTTTCTCATACCTAATTCCTCACTAAAATGTGCAGCCGTTCGTATGAGATACCAGCAGCTTTCACTATCTCTTTTAAAGTTAATCGGCAATCATCCATCACGATTTGGTGAATATAATCGATCATTTCATCTGCTGTTGCGGTTTTAGTCGTTCAGAGCATTCCTCTGTCGAAAATGCTCATTCTGTTTGAACTCAGCAGTCTAGGTTTTCATAATTGTAAATGAAGGAGCAACATCTCCATACACTGAATCTAATTCAGCTTTAATTTCTGTAAGATATTTCATTTTTAAACAAAGGAATTTTATCATGGTGCGATGTAACTTGACAAATTGTAACTTTGAAAGGCTATCAGGAACAAATGATTCTCTAGAATGTCATTAAACATAGCTCCTTGTGTTCCTTTCACTACAATCTATCTAGACAAGTATTGAGATTTGACTGAAATCTTACTCTTTCTCGGTTAGATAGAAAATTTTTCAATCTACTCCCGTATGTTAACGTTATATATATAGAAAAACATGATTAAACTTAATGCATTTATAAACATGATATCGGAAACATTATATATTAGAAACTGTAAAATTTTATAATTATAAAATAATCTTAGGGATAATCGCTCAGAACGCTTATATGTTATTCATACGAGAGTGTAAAAAAAACTATACATAACCACCAAATATATATGTTTTATATTTGCAATATGAAGTTATCATGTGCACTACCAATTCCTTGGTAACATCAATTTTAAACGTTGCAATTATATTTCATACGTTTCTCCGTAGTAACGAATGTTTGTAATCCGTTATGTCTTCAAATATAATTTAGTTTGTCAATAGTCCGCGTGATGCGTGTAAATATTTCTAGACACTTCTTCAGTATCCTGAGAATAACCTACAAGTATACATCTAAGTGTGACCTGTGCACAGAGAGCATTGTTACTTTCGCCATAATTTCGGACGCATTGCCTCTGAATTGTTATCACAAAAACATACCCGTAATTGTCCAATATATCATCCAAATTTTACCATGTTTCAATTACCGGTGCTTCATGGTCCAGTGATACCGAGTCGTTATAATATGTTCTTCAATCCAAACATTTGTCATATTTGCAAGGTAACAGTTGCTTACAATTTTATAACATGTAATCACTGCCAAATGATTATTTACTGCAGCCAGGAGCACAAACAGTTACACCAGCCGCATCATATACAAATCTGCAAGGTAATAGAAGAATCATTATTAAAAATGGACGTAACATGGACCACTGAATTAAATAACATGGAATGGTTCCACTCGAGGATGGAGTTGATAAGTTTAACTGAAAAGGAATTGTCGCGTCCTCTTGAATTCCACGAAAAGCAGATAATTTTATACGCAAAGTCGTGTCGTATTTGTCATCAACAGACAAATCTGCGAAAGTGCACGACATGCTCTTCCGCCAACTATTGCACTGATCACGCAGAAATCTTTCAAAAAATTCATAACTCTAATTGCGACAATCAATTTTTGTGTCTCCTGTTAAACATCGCATTGATGAACTATTTGACAGATTTATTATATTTCGCTTTTTCTCTCGATGCATACATACCACTTTCTAATATGACCTCATTTATTCAAACATATGTGAAACCAAGATATGAGAGACTAGATAATAAATCGCTTTCTTATAAATATCTATTTTCTGAATACGCATCAGCACCGCTGACTCTGTATTATGGACTGATGAATACAAAGTTATTTGATACTTTGAATACACAAGATAATTACTACGTTATTCATATAATACACGCAAAGTACTATAATAGATCTTATCTTCGTGCTTTTGAAATTCTTTTGCATCTTTTATGCCATATACAGCATTTAACAATTGTAATGACAGATATGGGAATATACATGGATATAGATGCGGGAATACCTACAGAATGTTTTAATATTAATGTTTGTGAGCGTTGTATAGAAAGTAACCGACAGTTGATGGTGGAGTCTTATTCTATGACTTACTGCCAATATGCAAACAGTAATGCATATAAACGACCAAATGTGATTTTAGGATTTGGGATAGATTTTAAGGTTATCCCTAAATGGCCGAAAATGTTTTTAGAATTGCGTAAGCAATACTGTCCCTTGTTTTTAACCGCCACATCCAAACTTGAAGCGGAAAAATGTATAGGTAAATTGTACACTGTTTTAAATACACTATTAACTCCTTTATACTTTGGCGAAAATAAATTTCGTTCCTTAGCGCCATGTAGAACATTTTACAGTGATGAGATGTATTATCATAATAAGTATTTAGTTATTTTGTTGAATTTAAATGATATACTCTAACACATTGAAGTTATAATAGACAATTGTAATATCATTATGTTATCATCTTAAACGATATAAGAGATTCTATACGACTTGTGCCGTATGCATAATATAGACATACATAAACATAATACGACATATACAATGAATATACAGAGTGTCCTAGAACAATGGTATCAGAGCTCGTATGGTCATAGGACGGATTAAGTCAATCAAAAACATCCCATAGTGCTTTGCGATATTCGTTATTATTATCGAGTTATCAATTACAGAAATCTGAGAAGTAAGCGGGCGCCAAGATGAATGATTGCAGAAGTATCGCAGCCATTCGGCAATCGCGCGGCCCAGTCGATCTGGCATTTGTTGTCAGCATGTGGGGAAGAGAAGGACAATGCACTAGTCTTATCTCGCCATTTCTACATCTCACTATGTGCCAGCAACAGTTGTTGGATCAACTGTTATACTATGGCCGCATTATAAACCGAGTGACTGTAGTGCTTCTTCAATCATTTATCTCGGCGCACGTCCACTAGTCAGATTTTTGTAATTAATAACTCGATAATTATTACGAATATCACAAAAAATGGTATAGAACTTTTATATTTGTCTTAATCCATATTACGCTCTAATACCATTGTACTGGGACATCCTGTAGATCTAAATATACACATACACATATCAAATAAAAAATACATCCTTAATTCTTTGCGATAAAAGCATCGTTTAGTTTTTTTAAGTTTGGCAAAGATATTGTTAAAATTATATTGTTAAAATTATAGATTGATTAAAATTATAGATAAAATTATATTGTTAAAATTATAGATTGATGTATACTATAATGACAAACTATAATGTGCATGTTTATGATATTAATGTAGATTATTTGTTAAATTTATAATTGTAGAAATCTACCATGACAATTGCATATCTACCGCAATGAAAAGTTGATTGACAATCTATATCTTTGTAATCTTTTTTGTAATCTTTTATTTATCACTTAAAATCGTTATTTAAATGATCGTTTATGTATTCTACCTGCGTGTTTATATGTCTCTAGAAATTTCAAATATGTAAACACAAGCTTATAAGAGAGAGAATACTTATTTTCATTTCATATTTTTCTTTTTCCACTTATCAAATGTAACACTGACTTTGCTGATAACAATGTTTAAGGATTTGTAATTATAATTTCTTCCCTTTACGCTCAAAATGTATTAAAAACAGTTTTTTCTTGTTTAGGAAAATTTATAAAAAGATTTAAAAAATTAAAAATTTATTTTGTAAAATTTTATATTTCGTTGTAACACACAGGGTGTATTTAGAAATTTCTATCGTCTCAGGATGAGATTTGTTTTCTATTGTTGATCTAGTGTACACATACGTAGAACTTGAAAAATAATAAGTATATAGTCGTGACTTATTGGAGGAAAGAATAAAAGAAGACTAGAATGCAAGGTAGTGCAGCCAGTTGATGATTGAACGCAACCAAAGTAGCATGTCATTTTTTGAATAAAGAGAAATACATATGTAGCAAATCAAAATGGTGTCCTCATATAAACTAGACACGTACGAAGTTTTGTAAGAAGAATTAATAAGTGTTTAAATGTGAGTGGTCAACATTTTGTACATTTAATAAAATAAAAAAATGTGAAAAACTATGAAGTCTTTTGTTTAATTTATGATTTACTATCTACAGCTTGAATGCACTTTATTGTAAAGTTTAAATATTAAAATGTAACTTTCGATAGAAATATTTTTTAAAGAAATATTCCAGATAAAGTTTACTTGCTTACTTATTTACACACACACACACACATATATATATATATATATATATATATATATATATATAATACTGTTGGATATCGCTTAGAATGCTTGTATAGATATGCTACCTATACAAGTTTATTATCTGTATGCATTTGAACAATGTAAGCGTGCTAAACATATGTCTTTTATTTGCTTTATCAATTCATCAAGTACACTACTAATTTATCAGTAACAACAATTTAAAACTTTACAACACTATATATTTCACCAGTGTTTCCTGCAATAACGAATATTCGTAATTCGTTATATCTTGAAATGTGATTTAGTTTGTCAACATTCCGCACGGTGCGCGCAAATATTTTTAAATACCTCTTCAGTGTCCTGAAAATAATCGACAGATATACGTATATCTGAGTGTATTCTATGCACAGAGAGTTCCATTACTTTCGCCATAGTTTCGAGCACATCGCCTCTGAATTGATGTCACAAATAACATATACGTAATTATCGAATATCATTTTTTTTCAATATTGCCATGGAACAAGTGCGTCGATTGCCGGTTTTTCATGGGCCAATGACGCCGGATGATTATAATGAGTTCTTCAATCCAAACATTTGTCATATTTGCAAGGTGACAGTTGATAGCAATTCGATAACATGTGATCACTGTCAAATGGTTATTTACTGCAGCCAGGAACACAAACAATTACATCAGCCGCAACATTAGCAATTTTGCATAATTTTAAAGAAATTATTAAGAATGGACCAGAGGTGGGACACTCGTCGATTAACCAAGGAGAAATGGGTCCAGTCGAAAAAAGAGTTGATACTTTTAATTGAGAAGGATTTGTTGCATAATCTCAAATTGCACGAGATAAAGATGACCTTATATGCAAAGTCGTGTCGCATTTGTCATCAACAGGCGAATTTGCAAACGTGCACGTTATGCTATTCCGCCAACTATTGCATTGATCACGCAGAAATATTTCAAGGTGTACACAGCTCTGAGTGCAATAGCCAATTGTTGTCTCATCCTAGAGATGACATCGATAAACAATATTTCAGTTTTATTACAAATCACTATTTCTCTCGATACGTATGAACCAGTTTCTGATATGTGTGCATTTGTTCAAAAACATCTAAAGTCGGAAACTCAGAACGAATCAAACGATACCTTGCTTCTTTATAAATATTTATATTCGAAATATATGTCAGGATCGCTGACGCTATATTATGGACTGCGGCATACAAAGCTATTTGATTCTTTAGACATAAAAGATGATTACTATATTATTCATATAATAAGCGCAAATAGCTATAATGAAGAATGTATTCGAACTAATGTTTGGGAATTTTTACTATATCTTGTACATGATATAAAGCACTTAACAATTGTAATGACAGATATGGAATTAGTCATATGTTTTAATGCCATCATTTGTGGGCGCTGTATAAAAAGTCAACAAAAGTTGAGGGTGGAGTCTTATTCTTTGACTTACGATTATGTGCACAGTAAGATGTATAAACGACCAAATGTGATTGTGGGATTTCAGATAGATTTTAATGATAGGCCTACATGGCCGGAAACGATTTTAGAATTCCGTAAGCAAAACTGTCCCTTGTTTTTAACTTCCACATCAGGACTCAAAGCAATGCAGAACATAAATATGTTGTATAAAGTTTTAAATTTGCCTTTAGTTCTTTTACATTTTGGCGAAAATAAATTTCATTCCTTAGCGCCACGTAGAACAATTGAGAGCAATGAAGTGTTCTATTATATAAGTCCGTGTTTTTCTAGAAATTTTTTCGCTGACGAGGAAATTCGGGAATGTAGAAAATATATATTTATATATGATGTGCATAAATACATCGCATATATTTATATAAATATATATATATATTATATATATATATATTATATATAATTTTATATGTATATATATATATAAATACAACGTAATATATTTATATACAAACAATATATTTATAAATAATCTGTTATTACCATTTTGTTTCCGAAAAGATAGGTTTAGATAAAAAATTGCAAATATTATGAATTACTTCTCTCTGTACTTTTATTATGTATATATATACAATGCAATAAATTAAAAAAAAATATTTTATTTATATTTACTATATTTTGCCCTTAAAAGTTTACCCTTAACCCTTAACTTAAAAGTAAATCCTTAAAAGTTTACATTTTATGTAAATACATATTTGTAAAGGTGAAAATATTTCTCCTCTTGCTTTTTGCCATTTACCAGATGTATCATCAAATTTATTGATAACAACATTTTAAGGTATGTCGTAATCATAGTCTTTTTATATAATCGTGATATAATTACAATTTCTTCGCGTTCAAAATGTATCGAAGGCCGTTTTTTTTAGAAATTTGTTTATAAATTTTATATTTCGTTCTAACAGATATAGACAGCATCTCAAGTTGAGATTTATTTTCTATCGCTGATCTGGTGTATAATGCACGGAAAGTGCATTGAAAAGTGACAAATATATGGACGAAACTTGGAGAAAGGAGAAGAGAACTAGCATGAAGTAGTGGAATCAGTTTAGCGAGAGGAAATAAACCTTGATTTGATTGGTAAGCATTTATAAATAATCGTCACCGTGTATACTAGTTTCCTTGGAATGGCAAAACAAAAGCTGTGCGCTTTCTCTGTGTGTGTGCGCGTGACGCGTAAATAAATTTATTTGGCAACGTGTTGATCGAAGCTTCTCATGTCGTCGAGGCGCTCGATAAAACGCTAAATCGCGTAACACGACGAAATATTCGGTAGACACGAAGCGAGAAGGTCTTCAAAGACGATGAATAAGCACGAGCACAAGCAAAGTGATATTGTAAGCATGTTATATTTTAAGTAAATATAAGTAACGTCGAAAGACATGTCGACTTGCTGTTAGAAGAGTATTACATCTGGCTTGGTTTTAATATCTCAAGTATTAACTTGCTCATTGTTTGTTATCTCCGATCTCCAGAGCGAAGAAGACAATCGATTGCAAGAGGAACTGCTACAGGCAGTCGACGTGTTGAAGGTAAAGCAACCTATTTTCGAAATCATCGAAGCGGAATTAGAGAAAAGAAACGAAAAGATAGATTAATCGGTGATAATTATCGACGGTCGAAAGCAACGTACTTGTTATCCACTTTTTTATCAGGGCAAAGACGAAACGGCCATGTTGCCGTCGCTAAATCGACTGAGGATGTTAATGCGCACATCCACCACTTCGATGACTTCCGTTCCGAAGCCCCTGAAATACCTAAGGAATTTTTATCCGAGGCTGAAGAACGCGTACGAGGACCTCAGGCGGAAGGAGGTAAAGATCCGTTTTGCAGAAATCCTCAGTGTGCTCTCTTTAGCGGGCGCCGATCCGGGATCCAGGGAATGTCTGGATTTCTGTATCAAAGGAGTCGTGGATAATCCTGGCGAGTGGGGCCACGAATACGTGAGGCGACTCGAGGTAGAGATCGTCGACGAGTGGGCGAATGCACCGATCAAAGAGGAGCAGGAAATCAGGTGGGTTCAGTTCACTTGAGATACGCTTCTGATTTATGGTGATTTCGGCGTTGAAAGCTTTCACAATTCACGCAGTTTCTGCCGATTGTGCGCTTGCATTGAGCGAGGAAGAAAAGTGGCCGATGTCACTTCGTAGTTATTTTCTTTACAAATATTAGCAGCATGAATATAAGATTGTTATCACCAACATTACAGCATAATACTTGTTACAAAAATAGTTCCCCCTGAGTATAATATTGAGTTATCCGAGAAGTCCGTACGAGAGTTTTGGGTCAAGAAAAAAATTTGTTCGGGTATTCCCTGAAAATTTTGTCGAGCTTTTACAATTCTTGCTGCTATATCCAAATCGTGTATCCTCGATTATTTTCGATCAGCATCTTCTTTGGTTATTATTCACAACTGAAGAGCTCTCCGCGTCATGATGAAAGTTTTAAATTTCGTAAATCGCTTCCGAGAGGTTGATAAAGAAACGTCATTGTTTCCATATGTACAAATTCTTTCCGTTCTCCGTATAACGTCTTCCCCTCCGCCGCAGTAAAAAAATATCACATGCCGGAAATGCACTCTTTCGTTCTCCATCTTAATAACTCAGTAGTAAAACCAACTCAACCTATTGCAAGTAAACGTTTACAAAAAAACGCGTTGGAAAGTCATGTTGGAAAGTCAAACGATATACGAGGTGTTTAAAAAAAGTGTTTAGGGCTTTAAGGGCAGACAGTTCTCACAAAATGAAGGAAAAAAGTCCTAACATGGGTCAAAAAAAATTGATATTGTCGAAGTTATGAACAATTATTTATTTTAATAAAAATAAATGATTTATTCGTTTCTGTGTGTGCTTTTGTATTTTCTAATGTAATTTGTCTATGTTATTCTTCGGTGAAGAGAATACCATGCTTTAAAGGAATCTGAATCTCTTCGCTCTTTCTCGGAACGTAAACAAAACGTCTCTTTTCTTTCCATTTATACACACGCTTCACCAAGCAATTGTTATTCACATATCCTCGTGAACAGTAAACAGTTGCAGAGAGCTATCATAAAGTTTTCATAATGTGATAAGAATGACATCGTATCGCTCTAATCAAGAAATGGTAGACATTCATCTATGGCCATGCATCAGAAGCAAGTAAGTCATTTGCTTTAATTAAAATAAATAATTTTTCGTAACTCCAATATTAAATTTTCGTCCCATGTTTATTAAAACATTTTTCCTCCATTTTGTAAGTAATATTTATCTTAAAGTCTTAAAGCTTTTTTTTAAACACCCTGTATAAATGTCACATACTTTCAGTCACTTTGAATTTACGCAACACTCATAAAGATATGTATTGAAATTCATAAAAACCTTTTGCCGAGAACTCAATATCTTTATTATATCAATCACAATTATAAATACTAAATATTCTTTTCTCAGTGTACATAAGAGATGAGAGGAAGAGAGAGAGAGAGAGAGAGAGAGAGAGAGAGAGAGAAAAGGAGAGATAATGAAACTGACATAATTAATTAATCCCTTAACTGTTAGGCGATAAATATGCTTGTGCGCCAAAAATGATCTCGACAATAAAGTTAATTAAATTATAAATAAGATATTTTGTAGAAATCTATTAGGACTCTAAATTTGAATTTGAGCTAAAAATTTCAAAATTCAAAATGGCAAATTCAATATAAGGGGCTAAAAGACAAAATTTTAAAAAGTAGCAAACAAATAATAGACTATTTAATAATACATAACATAAATTTAATAATAGACTATTTAAAAATACAAAAAAATAAAAATAAAGACAAATAAAGAATAATATGAAAATGAAGTATAAAGTTCAACAATTTCTATGTGATATACTCTAAGTTCATGAATTGCATTGTTTTGAATGTTTTGTATACTCATTAGCTAATGTTGACATCAATATTTCTAATGAAATTGTAAATTTATATTTTGAACGTAAAAATATTTTATAAAAGTTTTTATAAATCAATTTATGCAAACCAAGCGATGTTTTAAATTTTTTGCGGTCATATTGAATCTATCATTTTGATTTAACAAATTTATATTTTAGAAACGGCTTTAAAAAATATCGCCAATATTATTTTCCTTTTAAATTGAACCTTTCAAATTGAACCATTTTGAATTTCTTGTTTATCCTATTGAATTTGCCATTTTAAACTCATGAATTTTTATTTTAAATTTGAAACCCTCTACCAGAAATTTATTACTGGCTCTAATAAATTGGCCAGTGATAATAAATAATTTTATTATTCACATGAATAATGAAATGAATAATATATGAATATTAAAATTACTCATACGTGTAATAAAATTATTCATTATCACTGGGTAATTTATTACAGCCAATAATAAATTTCTGTAAGAGTCAGCGGTTTCATAAACCTTTGAATTTTAATGTTCATGCGAATCCTATAATTTCCGAAATTTTCGACCCGCCGTATTAGATTCGCCATTTTAAATATCGCAATTTTCACTTCGGATTTAAATAAAGTGAAAACATAAAATCCGCGTTTCCGCGGATATTTCCGTCATTGACAACAATCGGATTAAGAGTAATAGATTGAGTAAATTAATTTAAAACGACGATATGACAGGAAACGTCTGAGCCCGTTGATCAGAAGTATTATCGCGTTCGACATGAGGCACAACGCGGAAATACAAGCGTGCGACCTGTGCCTGGAGATCGACGAGCTGGACTTCCTCGCCGTGCACTTGGACTCCACGAATTTTACGCGGGTGTGCCATTACCTGATCAGCTGCGCGGCTTACAGGTGCTGACGCTCAAAATTTGCGTTTGTTTTGCGCCTGAGATTCGATCAATCGATCGATCGCTCTCCGTGTTTTGAGCGCGCGACTCAAGTTTTCGAGCCCGCGAAAATCCGCGCAATATAGAACAGTCTAAATGAGCCGCCTTTCCGGCTTCGTTGGCGCACATTGATCGGTTTATCTCTCCGCAATATACCGCACTGTACCGCATTCTTCAGCGAGGACACGGAGAGAAAACAAATATTAGAATTCGCCACGGAGCAATATCTGAAGTTTAACGAGTACACGAGGGCAATTTTGGTGGCGCTGCAACTTGCAAATTCGGAACTTGTTTTCAAGTGCATCTCCGCTTGTCCCGACTCTTTGATGAGGAGCCAGCTAGCCTTCATCCTCTCACGGCTTCAGGTAACTCGGCGCATAATATTCGCATCGCGTCCGACAAGTTCACAATTGAGTCGCGAAAAGTCGGGCGACGCGTACAAACCGAGATGAAGAGCGACTCGCGGTGAAAAGCGCTGCAATTCGGCCCGAGCAACTTTGAATCTAAATTTGTAATTAGATTTCCCGCTAAGGAAGTGAGGAGATGAGTAGTCAGAATTCGATGGCGTTAATCTACGTAAGATTGAAAGCTTCAACTACGAAGCCCTGAGAAGGTAGTTTTTCACGAAAACGTCCTTTCATTCTACTTTCTTAATTATTAATGAGAGAGAGATATAAGTCTTTTTACTGCCATTTGTAAGAATTATTTGTAAGAGCTATTTCTCCAGAGAGCTTCCTTGAAAATTCCTTGTTACTTGCAAGACAATTATTTGTAAGAGTCGTAAAACAATGTGACTCAATTTTGGAAAATCGGTTTCTCGATCTCGAAAATCGTGAATTTGCAAACTAACGAAATGAATCATCCTTCTATTAAGACGTTATCTAAAGGACCTGTAAGAAATCACACGATATTTTAAACAGGACCAACCCTTGAGGACGGAGTATCACGGAGATGACGCCAAAGACATCGAGACGATTCTCAGCAATGGGCACGTGAACAGTCACTTTCAGATCCTCGCCAGAGAACTCGATGTACTACAACCGAAGCATCCGGAGGATATCTACAAAAGCTGGTTAGTGGGAGGATCTAGACAGGTGAAGCACGACTCTGCGAAGGCAAACTTGGCGGCGAGTTTCGTCTCTGGTTTCGTACACGCTGGCTTTGGCCAAGACAAGCTTATGGCAAACACGTCCGATTGTTGGGTGTACAAGAACAAGGTTTAACTGCAGGTTTAACCACTTCGTTGGCATTGACGCACTTTTGCGTCAAAATAAAGACGTACCATAAATGGCATTGATGCACTAATGCGCACATCGTTTATTTTTTTATTGACTCCGATGATAAAAATTGGTACTCTAAGGTTTTTGAGATTACTAAATAAGAATTTAATGTAAAAAAATGGCAATTCAAAATGGCGGATCCAAAATGGCGGACCAAAAAAATAAAAATCTATTTGATTATTATGGAATTCGGTATCTGGGAATTTTTTAGCTGATTGAATAAGAATTTGAGGTTAAAATATGGCAATTCAAAATGGCGGATCCAAAATATTCCTTTATTAAATTTCTAAAAAAATCTAGTCGCTATATTACATATACTGTCTTAAATTTTCAAGTTTTAAACTCGAATTCGTTTTTAGCAATCTGAAAAACCTCTAGATATCGAATTTCACAATAATCACAATTTCCTTCTTTTGACTACCATATTGGTTCCGCCAATTTGAATCTTGAAATTCATATTTAGCAACTTGGAAAACTCCTACATATCGAATTTCATGAAAAATCAGATATATTTTTTGGCCGCCATTTTGATTCGCTATTTTGACCTCAAATTCGTACTTAGCTACCCGAAAAACATTTTAGTACCGACATTTATAAAAATCAAGCATGATTTATATGTTGACATTTTGGGTCAATTGATGGTATTTCTCAGTGCCAACGAAGTGGTTAATGTCGTTACGTTGCGTTGAGAAACGTATTCTCATATTCTGCCTTTCAGAAGCACGGAATGTTATCAGCTACCGCTTCTCTGGGCCTGATACACATGTGGGATGTTGATGGCGGCTTGATTCCCATCGACAAGTTAGTATCTGAATCAGTGTCACATAAATAAAATACAAATTATACAAGGTGTTAAAAAAAAGCTCAGAATTTTGAGGATTCTATCCTAGATATTACTCACAAAATATACAGATAGTACTTACAAAATGAAAGAAAAAAGTCCTAATAAACATAGCTCGAAAAGTTGATATTGTCAGAATTATGAATAATTATTTATTTTAATTAAAGTAAGTGACCTATTTGTTTCTACAAAAGATTTCCTATATGTTCACCACCTATTTCTACATCTACGCACTCCATACCTTCGTATCATAGAATTGCGAACTCTTTCAAAAATGTTCGACTTTGTCCTAACTATTTGACAGGTATTTCGTATTTTCCGACATAATTCGTCTATGTCATTTATCGATGAAGTTTACACCATGCTTTTAAGAAATCCTAGTAAAAAAGCCCAGGGGAGGGAGTTTAAATCAAGATAGCGAGAAGCCCATGAGACCAGTTTACCTTATCTAATCCATCTTTCACCGAAGGATCTGTGACCTAAATGTTAGACAAATTATTGTATATCAGAAAATACAAAATGTCTATCAAATAGTTGGAACAAATTTTTAAAAGTTCTTGATTTTATGGTGCGAAGATATGAAGCGTGTGTAGAAGAAGCTAGAAAATCTTTTATAAATTTTATAAGCAAGTAGGTCACTTGCTTTAATAAATAATTGCTAAAATAAATAATTGTTCATAACTCCGACAATATTAATTTCTTGACCCATGTTATTAGAACTTTTTCCCTCCATTTTGTGAGTACTATCTGTCCTTAAAATCCATTTTTTAACTCCTTAGCTGTTAGTAACAGAAATATCCGCGAAAATAAAAATTGGCCCAAACTGTTGATGACGGAAATATTTAAAAACCCATGAAAATTATTTTGTTTTATGTAAACTGGATCATTTTGAATTTTTTGGATATCCTATTGAATTTACTATTTTGAATTTACAAATTATTGTTATAAATTTGAAATTAGCGGCTTCAGAAAATTTTGGATTTCAATTTTTATACAAATCGAACGATTTCTGGAATTTTCGGTTTTGCCATTTTGAGTTTCGCAAATCTCGGATTTGAATGAAACAGCTCTAAAAATATAAAAATATGGTATCCTGTTCCGGTTGCTCCATTATAAGTATTTTTCTTTTTTTGGAATGCACGGATATTTCAGTCATTAACATCAGTAAAAGGATTAAAATTCAAATACCGCTTGAAGTCCTTGCCTTTATACACTATCGCTCAAAAGTTATGAGCACTTTGTAGTTGCTCGACACAATCAACGAAATAATTAGATCTATCAAATAGACAACACATGGTTTTACCGCAAAGTTACAGAATGCTCCAAAATTTTGCATGAGCAATAATTTCGACCTATCGTTTTTCGACGATTGATGACTTCCTGACGACTTGTTCGTTGCTGTTCGCGTAGATATCTTTACTCGAACGAGGATTACGTAAAATCCGGCGCCTTGCTGGCTATCGGACTGGTGAATTGCGGGGTCCGTAATGAATGCGATCCGGCGTTGGCACTCCTCAGCGAGTATGTCTGCTCAAACAATCAAACTCTTCGCATCGGAGCTGTTCTGGGACTGGGTCTGGCTTACGCCGGTTCCAGAAGGAAAGACGTCACCCAACTCCTTTCCGCTGCATTGGTCGATGAGCAAAGTAATACCGTTGTTGCGTCGCAGTCAATGAGTCAAATTTAAAAATTGATAGTAACCACTTTTACGTATCAGTTTATGTACTTTTACAGATAATATGCAAATTTTGTCGTTGGCTGCCATCTCTTTAGGCCTGGTGAACGTAGGCTCGGCGGATTCCGATGTGTTTTCAAGTATCTTGCTGAAATTCATGGGACTCTCTACGAACGAACTCGCAGTTCCGCACTCCAGGTCACTATCATCTTTTTACTTCTCTTTTATTCATCAATATGAGTATTTTTCTACCCTCATAAGATCTTCAAAAAACAATTCTTTTGTATTCTATGATCAGGTCTACGACCTCCCCAAGCTGAAATATGGCTTCTCATAAACTATCAAATTTTGCAAGTTTTAAAGCGCTGCCCTAATTGTTTTGAGTAGTATATTAAAAATTACGATCGTGACTTTTAAACATCTTCTGATAATGATTATTCAGAATTCGACGATTTTTCTTATCCATTTTCATTTGTCCAGCAGGACAAATAATAAGCAGTATTGTCTGTATTATTTAAAAAATTTTTTAATTGCTAAAATGACGTTGATATGATAACAGAGAAGTATTTGAAGTGTGAGTTTTGCAAGAGATGGAACTAATGTCAGTTTTGTTGAAGGCATTCCACTCACAGCTATTGTTTCTTAATGCTTTAATATTAATCCATGATATTTAGTCATTTAGTCATACTAACAACAGACGCAGTAAAAATCGTGTTAATACCATTTTAAAAATAGAACTTCCTAAGGAGCATTTTCGATTTGCGTTGCTTTTGTTTTTTAATCAGAAGAAAACAGCGGCTGAAGATAGAATTCTGATAGAAACTTATGATGATGTTGCTCTATCAATTAAGACAGTGAATATTGATTTAAACGACTCAAAAGTGGTGATTTCAATGTTAACGATAAAGATCGCTCGGGACAACCGAAAAAGCTTAAAGATGCAGATTTGCGAGCATTATTGAACAAAAATCCAACACAATCCACTTCAGAACTTGCCAGAGCGTTAGATGTTGATCGTACAACAACAATTATTAAACATTTACATGATATGGGAAAGATTCACAAAGAAAGAAGATGGGTTCCGCATCAATTATCGGAAAATATCATTACGAACCTGTTGAACATCTGCATTTCGTTGATCGCCAAAAGACAAAAAATGAAGAGTTTTATAAAATATGAAGAGTTATAAAAAAGAGATATAAAAAAGAGATATAAAAAATGAAGAGTTTTAAGAGAATATTGAATTATTGTTACTGGGAATGAAAAAATGGATCTATTTCAATAATCCCAAACAAAAAGAAATCATGAATTGATCCAGGCCAACCAGCCAACATTCATTTCGAAGTGTAATATTCACGGTTTAAAGATATTGCTGTATTTGGTGGAACCAGCAAGGTGTTGTGTATTATGAATTGTTAAATCCGAATGAAACTGTCATCGCTGATCGTTATCGACAACAATTATACAAATTAAGGCGAACATTGGACCAAAAACGATCACGAATTGCGAGTAAACAAGTGAACTTTTTCACGACAACGCTCGATCTCATGTTGCATTATCAATGAAACAAACGCTATTAGATCTGGAATGGCAAGTCTTACCGCACCCCGCGTATTCTCCAGACATTCGATTATCATTTATTCTTCATTCGATTATCGTTTATTCCAATCGATGCAACATGATCTAGAGGATACACACATTCATAACTTCGAACAAGTAAAATTTGTTGAAAATTGGATCAATTCCAAAGAAGAATCTTTTTATCGTCGCGGAATCCATCTTTTCTCAGAAAAAGTTGTAGAAAATTAAGGTAAATATTTTGATTAAGGTATTCGTTCATTATTTTAAATAAATTAGTTTTTGAGAAAAAAGAACCCTCAAAACAAAATCATACTCCTAATATAATGAGTGAAGATATTTTATATATTAGTCCACTTATAGTTATGAAAAGGGCTCAGATATTATAACGATATACCTAGACTAATAATTAATTTTGGCTTTATGGATCGAGTTTCTTTCTCATTTAATGTTATATTTTTAATTAATTCTTAATGATCATACAATATTAAAAAATAATTGTTTTTTAAAGATCTTGCAGAAAAACCCCCTTAATGACCCTCCTCTTTTATAATTCTGTTATACTTCAAGCAATGTATACATTAATTATTTCTACTCGGATCCACAAGTCGATGAAGAATCTATTCGAAATTATATCGAGATCAAGTTAAAATCGTGCGAAATTCGACGATTGATCTGATATTTCTAAAATTTCATAGCGTTATCTGGAAGATATCATGTAGATGTCGACATAATAATAACTAGATATCGAATAAATTATCAATAATCAATCTACATTTGATATTTTCTAGATAACAAATCGCTATATAGACGTCGATTATATGTCGACACAACATCGGCAAAACGCCATGCGAATCTGTCGAAATCAGTAAAGTATCTAGTTTTCGTCAAGTCGACATCCCAAAAAATCATCATCGATGTTGACTTTTGAATTTGGATATGTAGATTTTTGGCGTTAGCTCTCGGAATGGTTTACATGGGAGCCCGGGACATCGTAGAGACACCTTCCGCAGCGCTCGAGGCTTTGCCGGAGCCGTACAATTCCGCCTCGCAGACGATGCTACAAGTAAACATTAGTACCGTTACATTTACGAAGAATTCCTAAAATCTCATCAACGCTCACCACATTACTACTTACGTTCTTGTGTTACGCGCACAGATCTGCGCTTACGCTGGCACCGGCGACGTGCTGATAGTGCAGGAATTATTGAGGATCTGCTCGGAAACGGTCGAGGACGAAACGAACGAGAAGAGCAGCCTCGAGAGTAGCTCGAGCTGTTGCGATCAAAGAAGGTCGCAGGCTGACCCTTCCACATCGAGGAAGAATAAAAAGAACGACGACCGAGCCGAGGAGTCAACCAAGTGAGTGTCTCGCTGAACAGCTAAATAAATAAAGGTTCTCGTTTACCGTAATAAATACTCTTCGGAAAATTACACATCACCTCGACATTTATCTCAGAGACATCGGCGCCACGCAGGCCATAGCGTCCCTCGGGGTGGGAGTGGTCGGACTCGCGGAGGGGAAGGAAAACTCAGGAATTTTCGGCCAGGTGAGAGAACAGAGATTCCCGCGAGACCTCAATTGACGTTAACTGATATTTATGAGCAAGAAGCGCCTCGGTCGGCTAGTCTATTAAGGGTAGAATCAAAGCGAAAGACTTCAAAGCGGGACGCACTTGAGTATCAATTCATCTTAATTAGTATTTATGGCTGCGCTGCTACGGTTCATAAATGCGGCCCATGACCGACATCTAATTGACTCTTCGTCTCCTCCTGGGGACGGAACTGAAGAACGAGGCGGAGACAATCAGTTGAGGTGCGATTAGTTGCTCGTCATGGGAATGCGAAATTCCCACGCTTAAATTCCCATGTAATAGTTCTTTCTCTTTTTAATAGGACTTATGTCCTGTTTGTATCTAGTTTGTATCCGAGATCGGATACTAGAACTGTGAGCATATTTTTAAGTTCCCTAAGTTGCTAGCCGGGCTTAGGTAGCCGATATAGATCGGCGTGAGAGTGAACGTTTTTTTTTTTTACATAAGTCAGTACGTACTGAGGTACTTGGGTGGGTGTCGGCCATGAGTGGACCCATTGTTTAACGTCTCTTTCGAAAGACAGAGCCCAGTTTTTCATTTAGGGTTACACCTCTTATTACTAGATGGAGAGCGCAGTTCTTTTAATGGCCTAGCGGGGTTCGGACCCGGTTTGCTTGGATTACAAATCTAGCGCTCTACCCGCTAACCACGCTGCGCTCTTTGTAATGCTATGGAGCTTATAACGAATGTGCAGGTTGGAAGGTACGGTCCAACGCCAGCGCGGCGCGCTATGCCTCTCGCGATGGCCCTGTCCTTTTTGTCGAGCGCTGATCCGGCGGTCGTGGATGTACTGAATAAGTACAGCCACGACCACGACACCGAAGTCGCCCTCAACGCGATCATCGCCCTTGGCCTGGTGGGTGCCGGCACGAATAACGCGCGGTTGGCAACTATGTTAAGACAGTTGGCGGCTTATTACGCGAAACATCCGTCTCACCTGTTCCTCGTCCGCATTTCTCAGGGCTTGGTGCACTTGGGCAAGGTATGGATCTAGATAAGAAAGATAAGAGTCTCATTAGGGAAAGAGTGCGGAAACTTATAGTTGGAATAATAATTGATCCCTTAACTGTTAGTGACGGAAATATCCGCGGAAAGAAAAGTAGTCCAAACTGTTGACGGGATGACGGAATGACTGAATTCCGCTTCCTTCATCGAAAGTATCCGATTAGGCTTCGCCGGTTCGGCAGTAGGCCAAAAGTTGACGAACGTTGGCTCGCCGATATTCAAACGCGTTCATCGGTGCTGCTAAGTGCGGTATTTGATGCGGCTTAGAAAATTGTTCTGCGGCACCCAACTGTCTGCCGATTGCAGAATTCGTCCGACAAAACGGCCATTTTGGTAACGACCAAAGAAAAAGAAATTGGTCGTTGCAATATATGAGGTTATTAATAAGCGGATTTTAGTTCTTACATCATTTCAATAACCTAACTTTTGTCCATTTCTCTGACTATCTCTATAGTCAGATTTTCTATTATTTAAAACAATGCTATAAATCTATTTTTATTAGGCCTTTTAATAGACCCATTCTCCTTGTTTCGACTACATCCATAGACCTGAAGCGAATCCCCTTCAGTATGCTTCTATTTTTTGAGAATAAAAAATCACAGGATATCAAATCTGAGGAATAAAATGGATGTTCTATTACTACTATGCCTTTTCCGGCCAAAGACTGGACTTGCAGTGCTATATATATATTGTTCTGACGAAGAATCCATTCATCCATAAGAATGCTCCGATATCAACTAATCAGTTCAGTAGTCTGAAAATGAACTTACTCGATGCGTGAATGTTCAAACTCAACAGTTTGCCATTCAACCTCATTTCAGCTCTTAGTTTTCAGCATGATCCTCTTATTTAATAACCACATCTTGTACAATTATACAGGACGTAAGACAACGTTCGTGTATATATCAGGTTGTCTAAAAAGTATTGAGTCTTTTGCGCACGAGATAACGTTAGTGTCCCAAATTTCAGGGTATATGAGTCGCAGCAGATTAGGCCTAACGTCATTGACAGCTGACAGCTGAAGCTAGTAGACGTACAAAAAGCGTTGAAATTCTTATAATCAGACGTAAGATATTGCGCCGTGAAGATGAGTGAACTTTCCGCAAAACTGCGCTACATTTTACAATTTTATTTCGATAGAGGGGCAAATGCTGCGCAGGCCCGTGAAGAAATTTGTGCTGTTTATGGGCAAGATACGTTATCAGAAGCAATAGCCAAAAGATGGTTCAGTCGCTTTTGTTCTGGAAATTTCGATGTCCAAGATGCTCCTCGCAGTGGGCGACCAATCACAGAAGAAGTGGATGATATTCTGGCAAAAGTCGAGCAAGACCAACATATAAGCAGTCATGACATTGCGAATGATCTAAACATCCATCACCAAACAGTGTTAAACCATTTGGAGAAAACTGGCTACAAAAAGAAGCTCGATGTTTGGGTGCCACGTGATCTGACTAAAAAAAATTTACTCGATCGAATTTCTATCTGCGAATCTCTACTGAAACGAAATCGAGCCATTTCTGAAGCGGTTGATCACGAGTGATGAAAAGTGGGTAACCTACGACAACAAATGTGCGAAAAAGATCGTGGTCGAAGCGAGAAGAAGCTCCACAGTCTGTGGCAAAGCCCACACTGACGCCCAGGAAGGTTATGCTGTGTGTTTGGTGAGATTGGAAGGGCATCGTGCATCACGAGCTGCTACCGCCAGGCAGAACGATAGACTCGGACCTGTACTGCTGACAATTAGCGCGATTGCACCTAGTAATTCAAAAGAAACGGTCGGAATTGGTCAACAGAAAGGGTGTCGTATATCACGCTGACAACGCCAGACCACATACATCTTTAACGACCAGTCAGAAATTAAGAGAACTTGGCTGGAAGGTTTTAATGTATCCACCGTATAGCCCGGACTTGGCACCGTCAGACTATCATTTGTTCGGTCTCTGCAGAACTCTTTGAATGGTGTTAAGTGTTAGTTTCAAAAGAGGCCTGTGAAAACCACATGTCACAATTTTTTGACCAGAAACCACAGAAGTTTTATAGCGACAGGATTATGGTGTTGCCGGAAAAATGGCAGAAGGTCATTGAACAAAATGGTGCATATGTGGTTTCATAATGTTATTTTCAAATAACAATAAATGTATTTTCAATTTCGACCTCCAAAGACTTAATACTTTTTAGACAATCTAATATTATAATCATCATAAAATCGGCGACTATCATTGCAGTCAATATGTTAATAATATATCTTGACTTCGTTTTTCTTTTTTTTTTCCTAGGGCACCTTGTCCTTATCACCATTACGGTACTCTTCAAAGGTGTTAGACTACACCGCTCTGGCTGGCTTGATGGTTGTCCTAGTCGCGTGTTTAGATTGCAGGAACCTTATATTATCGCAATCTCATTATTTAATGTACTGCTTGGCTGTCGCGATGGAGCCAAGATGGCTGGTTACCGTGGACAAGAATTTACAGGTACAGGTATTGGCTTATTAACCGATGTTAATAAAATAAAATATCTAAAAATATTGTGGTTTTGAACACTTAAAAAATCAACTCGAGAATAAGGGATTGCAAATATAAGCGAGAGACAATTGTTAATTAAAATTGAAAGATCTAAGATTGAAGCGTGGATAAATATGCATAAAACACCGCACTGATATTTTATATTTTAAAATATATTATAAAGAGCAAAATTCTGAGTAATACTTTATAATACATTTATATAGAGGTCGCTTATAATTTTCGGAGATATTCAACTGCAAAATATTAATAAGTAAAAGTGAAATTTAGGAGACTTATCTCCAATAAACACATTAACATTTTTCTTGTTAATTTATATCTTATTAAATTCTTGCTAAAATCTTTCGCACCTTGTTAAACTTATAAGCCTAAACTCTACATAAACGCCACATACTAAAAATGCAAATATTATAAAAATAGACAAAGATTTCTGCGTAAAGTATAAGTTCATTTAAATTCGAACGTGTATAAATAAGTTTGGTGCTTTTATATTTGACGTCTTCCAACACTGGTTTAAATTTAAACTTTTTTCCCGCTCTATGGCGAGTTTGAAAGTACCAACTGTAAACTTTAAGAGACACTATAATAGTTGGCAACTTTGCCGACATAATCTCACGAAATAACAGTGAATACGATGTCATCCGAAACGGAATATGTGAGGCACTGCATTCTTTTTGCTTATCAATTAAAGAAAAATACTGTTCAAACTGCTGAAATGATTTGTCGTTTCGGGTGAGGGTGCTGTGACCCATCAAACTTGTAAAAAGGGATTTCAGAGATTTTGGGAAGGCAATTTTGATCTTACTGACCGAGAAATGGAATAAAAAAAAGTTGAAGATAAATAATTGCAGCAACTGAACGAAAATCTTTGTCAGACGCAACAAGTACTTGATGAAGAACTTGGTGTAACTCAACCAATTATTTCCGTACGTCCAAAGAAGCTTGGAAGAATTGCAAAGGCAGACCATTGGGTTCCACATGTATTCCGGAAAACAAAATGAGATGCTGTGAGATGGCAATATCTCTGCTGTCACGATTTAAACAAAAAGACTTTCTTCACAAAACTGTGACTGGGGATAAAAAATGGGTATTGTACGCCGACCTCAAACGACAAAAATCGTGAGTTCATCCGGGTGCGTCATCAAGTACTGCGAAAAATATCGAATAATTATGCTAAAAAAGTATTGTCGTGTTTGGTGGGATTTCAAAGTTATTTATTATGAATGTCTTAAACCTAATGAAATTGTTCCTTCTGAATATTATCAACAGTAACTCAATATTTTAAATGACGAAATCAAACGTAAAAGACCATTTACGGGAAATGGAACCCGGCAGGTGATTCTGCTGCACGATAATGCACAGCAAAAGTGACCCTGGGACTTATTTGTTCATGAGGCTGAAAAAGTCTCCTGCATGCCTATTATCCAGACCTTGCCCCTACGAATTATCACCTGTTCTGATCGCTTCAGCATCACTTGATGGATTCCCACTTTCAATCTCTCGAGGAAATAAAGAAAAAGCATTGATGACTTCATTGAACTAAAACTACCATCTTTTTACCGAAGTAGGTGCCTAAGAGATGGCAATAGTGTGCGGAAAATGATGGGGACTACTTCAAAGATTAATAGATTATTTTTTTAGGGATGAGGGGAGTATAAATATTAAAATCATAATAAAAAGGCATCGAATTTATTCATACACCTAACAGATGTATTATAAAAAAATTACTTAGAATTTTATTCTTCATAGCATATTTAATATAAATGAAAAGTAAATCAGTAGGGTATTACCTTTTATGCATATTTACTGAAATGCGCGTTTCGTCGCCACTTTGCAGAACCTACCAGTGTCGGTGAGAATCGGCCAAAGTGTGGATGTCGTCGGGAAGGCCGGAAATCCGAAATCCATCGTCGGCGGTCGCGTGCAAACCACGCCGGTACTGCTCAACGTAGGCGAGAAGGCCGAGCTGACGTCGGATCAGTACGAGTCGCTTTCCAGCGTTCTCGAGGGTTTCGTCATCCTCCGCGAGAAAGTAATCCCGAAATGAACGAACTTTACAAGAAAGACAATAAGAACCAGTTGGCTCTTGTCCTCTCTTCTAGTATTGTTCAATCTTAATCGGAGCCTTCGAAGTTTCAGAAATATATAAATATATAAAATATATAAAATGTATTATGTTATATCATGCAATTTGAGTAGTTTTTGTAAGAAATTATAAAACTAGTGATCTCTAATTGCTTAATAGCTCCAGTGTTAATACATGTTTTCTGACAAGCGATGTGTTAAAAAAATTTACGTTAAAGTTTTTTACGCTAATTATATTAAGGGTATAAATAAGTTCGATGTCTTTTTGGCATGATGTTAATGTTTATCCTCTCTCTAAAAAACGAATAACGTGTTAATTTTCGAAGTAGTGCTCATAATTTTCCACACACTTTTGCCATCTTTCAGCAGCTGGCGAAATCTACTTCGGCAAAAACCGTAGTTTTGACTCAATGAACCCACTAAATACAAAGTACTATCGATGTTACAAGCTACTTTGTTATACAACAAAGCAACTGTTATATAACATACCATATGATTTAGTTGACATTGTAACATCGATGATACTTTTTGTTTACTGGGAAGTCATCAATGCTTTTTTTATTTTCTCGGGAAATTGAAAGTGGGAATCCATCAAGTGATGCTGAAGCGACCGGAACAGGTGATGATACGTAGGAATAAGGTCCGGAGAATAAGGCGCATACGGGAGAATTTCCCAGCCCAAAGAACAGATAAACTCCAAGGTCACTTTTGCCGTGCATGGCCGCGCGTTGTCGTACAGCAGAATCACCTACCAGGGTTTCCTGTAAATGGTCTTTTACATTTGATTTCGTCGTTTAAAATAATGAGTTATGAGTTATGTTGATAATATTCAGAAGGGACAATTTCATTGGGTTTAAGACGCCCGTAATAAATAACGCCTTTAAAATCCCACCAAACACAACAATACCTTTTTAGCATGAATATTCGATATTTTTAGTAGTACTTGATGGCTCACTCGGATGAATTTACGATTTTCGTCGTTTGGGATCGACATACAATACTTATTTTTTAATCCCCAGTCACAATTTTGTGAAGAAAGTCCTTTCGTTTGACAGCAGGGACATTGTCGTCTCATTGCGTCTCATTTTCTTTCCGGGGTGAGCACGTGTGGAACTCAATGACCTGTCTTTGCAATTCTTCCTTCTTCTTCTTTGCTTCTTTGGATGTACGGAAATAGTTGGTTGAATTATACCAAGTTTCTCATCAGGTTCTTGTTGCATCTGACAGATTTTCGTTCAGTTGCTCCAATTATTCCTCTTCAACTTTTTTCGGCATTCCACTGCGCTCTCGATCAGTAAAATCAAAATTGCCTTCTTGTAATCTGCCTTCTTGTCACCCCTTTTTACAAGTTTTATGGGTCATAATAGCACTCTCACCTCAAGCGAGACAAATTATTTCAGCAGCCTGAGCAGCATTTCTCTTTAATTGATAAGCAAAACAAATGCCTCACATGCCTCACAGCGCCTCACATTCCGTTTCGTTTCGACGACATCGTGTTCACTGCTGTTTCATGAGATTATGTCAGTAAAGCCGCCAACTATTATAGTGCTTCTTAAAACTTACGGTTGGCACTTTCAAATCATCATAGAACGGGAAGAATTTTAAATTTGGACCAGAATTACAAGCCGTCAAATGTAAAGGCACCGAACTTATTTATACACCCAATATATCCGGATCAATTCCTCAGTGGGAACAAGTGCGACGCCAGTCATCTCTCTGAGAAGTTAAAGAAAAATGAAAAAGCAATTTTTATTCAAGATCTACGCGAAATAAATTAAAGAAGAAATGCAACGCGTCGCATGATCGACAAGATAGCAGTGAGACCAGCAATCAGTAGGAAGTTGGTGGATTTTTTCGTACATTTGCATTTATTTAACTTTAGGGACTAGCGGAAGCAATGTGCTCTATACAACAGAAACATACATTGGTTCGCATTGCACAGTGGGAACAATAAACGTCGCACCATGATCAAGAATCCCGGGCCGCATGCGAAGTCGGTAAAACCCGACGCGCGCGAGCTGTACAAACAAAGGCGGAACGAAAACCAGAAAAAAAAAGAAAAAGAAAAAAAAACGTAAAACCATACAAAGGCGCATACACGCCAGTACATACCTAAGGAAAAACGTAAGAAAAAGAAAAGGAAGAAAATGCGACGCGACTGTCGGTCCCTAAAACGATATCAAAATAACGAGATAATCGATTGCACGTCGATAATGATCATGGAGCACGTCGGACTCTCTTCGTGACGAAACCGTTTCCCGGGCAACACGAGGATCTGAGCCTGAGGGCATCTCGAGAGACACCGCGGGTCACGCGAAAGATTGGAACAGATCTCTTATGCGTATGTGTTGACTCCGGCAGGAATTGTAAGTGTCACACAAATGTACAGCGTGCACAGGACGCTCGTAAGATTAAAGCCTTATCCACAAAGTGCTCTTTGCGTTCCGCTCCTTTCTTTTGATCTTCTTTTGTGACTTAAACTTTGCGTGTTAAGGCAGAAAAAGATAAAGAATACGAAAATGAAACACAGGAAGCAGAGAGCACATTGTAGATCAGGCTAACATGGTTCCTCTCTCCCTCCCTCCCTCCCTCCCTCCCTCCCTCTCTATCTCTCCCCCTTTTTCTCCTTCCCTCTCATCCTTTCTCCCTCGTATAAATGTCCCACGACATTCGCTTGTAGGCACATGACTTAGGGTAGGAGGCAAAGTGTAATAGTAAAACGCAATTGTCGCGACAATACGTTACGCACGCGTCGACAGCGGCAGCTCGGCGACTTCGTTCGAACGAGACGGCCGCTTCGAGCCTTGTTATCGCGCGCGTGTACGTGCAGCCGAAGAGTGTGAGACGAACGCATCTAACGTACGATCGTACATCGTTCGCGACGTAACAGGTCGGAACTTCGATACGTGTCGTGCGCTTCTCTATGAAAAATTCAGCTTGCTTCCGCTCGCTCAAGGATAAACCGGCCGTACAATTCGGTGAACGCGCGCGTTCGCTTCAATTTGTCGCTTGATACATTATGTGGGAGCTCCTTAATTCTGTGCAGGACCTAATTTAAGGGTGGAGGACGATCGCTGGCGGCTTCTACAAAAGCAAAGTTTCTTCTCGATTTCCGATGGCGGTTGCGAGTGTGGAATTGGCGATTCGCATTTTTGAAAGTAGCATAAAGCAACTTTTGAAGTACGATAACTTTGCAGGTCGTATAATAAGAGTACTGCATTTCACGCCGATGGCACGGAGAGAACATGTGTGTTTCCCGTTAAATCTAAATTATTTGTTGTATTATTTTAAGAGTTCTACGTTTTATCTTATGAGCAGTTTTCCCCTTAAAAATCTTTAAAAAATCGCTTAGCGGTTTTTTTCCTTTTTTTTTCTTTCTTTTTTAGGTGGATCGACGAATGTGCATGTATATATGTGTCAAGAATCATGCATTGCGGCGTGTCAATCACGATCATGCATCATGTGTGCGTGTCTGTAGCGAAATGTTCAAAACTTGACTTATGCCACATTTCCAAAATCACATGCATCATCTCAGAATGATGCGAATCAGAGATGTTCCGTGAAAATCGTTTACAAATTTCGACAGTGACGAATATATAATAACAATAAATCCGTTACGTTCGTAAAACGTAATAAAACATACGTTTCGTGTTGACGATAAGGCTCTCGATGGTCTCGACTGTTCGGATCCACCACGACTATAAATTTGGTCCTGATTTTCTTATTTGTAACTCTAACATAGAATGATCGAGCGATCGTAAATGTTTATCGCAGTCCGCACCGCAGAACGTATCCTTCAGTTAATACATCGAGGGTAATTAAAAGGATAAAATATCTCACAAGGACACCGCGCAAGCTACTCTATAAAATAATCCTTGCCACAGAGAGTAAGTTAAAAATGTGATCAATCACGCGCAAATCGTCCAATTAGTCAATGTACTCGCACCATTCAACAAGCTTCTTCACCTACTTGGATCTCTTTTTAATTTCTTCACGTTGCGTGTAGTAAAATATAATAATATAATAATAATAATAATAATAGCAGTTAAAAATTAATAATAATAATGATAGACCCTATTTTTAGTAGCGTTCCTTGCATTATAGTCGTTCGCAAGGTAATATGTATGTATGCGATTTAGCGAATACATGATTATGTACTTTGAAACTTCCTAGCTGCTTCTTCGCGCCGCCCTTCGACACCTCTCGACAAACTTCATATTTACAATAGTGAGTTATATCAAGAGTTTCTTTTTTTAGTCGTATCCCCCTCCCATCCACTATTTGATTATCTTCTCTACGTTAATATCAGCCAGTCGTTGCGCACTCGTAAACGTGTGTGAGAATGAAATCAAGTCACGATGGCGCTCCGAATGGTAAAACTCGAGAAAACGTCTACGTCGCTAAAGAAATCGGGTCACCGTAGATAAAGCTGCCTGTGGATTCGTTGCTGCGAGAAAAAAATTGACGACAAAGTGGCAGTGCTTTCGTGTCTTTAAAATATGTGTACATGCGCGTGTTTGTGTGTTTTGTGTATGTCGTGTCGTGTATTTTGTGCTCCCGCTTAGAGGACTTTGATTTCGCATCACCATCGCCATCCCCATCACCACCGAGCGCACGTCGGCAGTTAAATGGTCGCGGTGATCAGCGCCGTACTTATCTTACTTCGATGTTTTAGACGCAACAACGTCTCTGGGACTCTCAAGCCACATGAATTTAGATACAGATCAAGCGCACACAAGTAACTAAAGTCTAAATTACACAATATTTTAAACGTTCACATATATACACGTACACACAACAAACGTCTAGTTGTGCGTATGCAAATATCTGTTGATCGTTCTGTTTTTTATTGATTTTCCTTCAATTTTTTTTATCAAAATTATCAATTATGTTGTCACACACATAAGTTAACTTTTTCGTTTTATACTCAATAAATAATATCAAGACTCTTAATATAAATACAAAGCGGATAATGACAATGTATATGCAAATACATTTACAAAGACAACTCTGATTCTCGTCGATTGCTCTACTACTTCATGCGTTTCTTCCAGTTTGTATCTCGTATATATCGATATGACAAAATCGTAAGGAGGCTTATTATTTTCTAATGACAACTTCTGGAAGAGTCCCTCGAATACATGAGGCTGCCAATTAGCGTCTAATGCGTCTGTAGGTAGGGTAAGTACGGTTCTGACAACGGTTGTCGAACACATTTTTTTCTCCGCGATGCATCTACCACGCAGTAGGAATGTACAGTCTGTACCACAGTAACACAATCGTGACATGAGGCGATGTAATAAGTAAAATGTGTATAGCATGAGTTAAAACAGCCGGGCACGTCTTTTGATTTCATTGCGGCGCCACTGTGGCAGTCTGTAGAATTCCGCGCGGGAGCACTGGAGGACCATCTCGAATTCCGCGTCGGAGAGATGCCGCTGAAAAAAAGAGATATAAGGGACGGTCAATAAGAATGTTGTTGAAAGTGACTGTTCACGTGACTAACCGCGGCTGTGCTCACCTCGAGATTGCAACGTTCCACGTCAGCTGGCAGCCTGTAGTTGGTGATAACGAGTAAATGGTAGGGATAAAGCTTGGGCGGTTCGGTTGGTGCAGCACCCATGTCCGGCAACGATCTCCTCACATGATGACCCCCGTGACCTCCGACAACCGAACCTAGGCCACCTGTATATGTGGTGGATGATGGAAGGATTCCACCATCATTCTAAATCACGACCACACACAAAGTCTTGTAAGTCTCGGCGGTAGAAGTTGGCGTGAAGAAATAACGAGAGACAGTAACGCGAGCGCCGAGAGATAAGCGCGAGGGATTGATCTCGCATTCTTCGAGTCATTTAGTTAAATTCTGCCGGAGCAATTATCTTCTCGAATCAAAATTCCTGGCGACAAGTTCACCAAGCGCGATACACGGGAGAAAATCTCGGAGAAAATAGCGGTTGGATCTCACCTAGCTAATCTTGTCGGCGCTCATGAATAGTAAACACATCTTTCTCACTCTATGAAAATGTTCGTATTCTGTCATTGCGTAGTAACAAATTAGTGTGATCGATAGATTGGTCTTTACCGTATGCACACGAGTGAACGCGACTGCATTCGTATGACTCAATAGAATGTCTAAGTGAGCAATTTTTAACGGTATCGATTCAATGATTCTCAGCCGCGGAAGCAGATCGTAGAATAGCTTTTGATACTCTCTCTCTTTTTCGAAATATACTTTGATATTCTTGAAAATATTTTTCAAATATTAAGAAATTCAAGACATATGAAAGTGAAGCGATCATTCCACGTGCGAGCGTTTTGACCTCTTTTCAGTAGTAACGCAATTTCACAAAATTTCCACGAACGTGATGCCACCTTTTTCATTTGATATTTATCAGTTGTTTGTACTATAATTCTTTAGGCGCGAATAACGTATGTTGCATACAGAGTGTAACATCAACATACAGGTCAGTATGACGGGTTGCCTGCCCCTATTCGGACGATAATGCAGAGGTTGCCGAAAAGGTCATTCGTTGACTTTGTTGATAATGATATTTGCAGTGCTCCCAGTTATGACGAGTGCAACTAACTTTGCACCGTGATCGTTATGACAGTTTCTCGTTTATGACAGGAGTCGAGCCTCATTGAATTAAAAAAGATGTGTAAAAAGGTAAACCTGAGAAATACGTATATACGTATATACGTATATACGTAATTACGGACTTAAACAGAGTAATAAATAAGGAGATAAATAATATAATATATTTTCTTGCTTCATATAATTTTTTAATTTCTTTCTTGCGTTGAAAAGTTCGATAGGAATTAGAAATTAGAAGAACGATATAGAATAGGAATTAGAAATTAGAAGAACGATATAGAAATATTCAGAAGTGTTATATACTATTCCATCCATGTTTCTACAAACGATCGCTTCTGCAAAGGTATGCATCGACCAGAAATGCAGTATAAGTATTGATTGCAACTTAATCGACGATAGCTATCAAGCGACATATTTTCGTACATCATAGTCTTGTAGATTGACGTTTCTTTTATCGAAAATAGGGCTTAATAGTCGTCGATCAAAAGCGATTTTTTGTAGAAATGGAATGAATGGAATATAATATGTAAGACTTCTAAATATTTCTATGCCGTTCTTTCTAATCTCCAATTCCTATCGAACTTTCCAACGCAAGAAAGAAATTAGGAAATTATGTGAAACAAGAAAATGTGTTGTACTATTTATCTTCTTAATTATTACTCTTATTTACTTGCTTATCCGTAATGTTTATTTCTTAGTTTCACTTTTTTAAACTTTTTTTTTTATTCGATAAGACTCGATTCCTGTCATAAACGGTCGATAAACTGTTATAACAATCACAGTGCAAAGTTAGTTGCACTCGTCATAACTGAGAGCACTGCAAATATCGTTATCAACGAGTGATTTTTTCGGCAACTTCTGCATCATCGTCCGAATAAGGGGCAGGCAACCCGTCATGCTGATATGTATGATATTACATCCTGTGCATGCGCGCATTTTCGCGCTTGAAAATTAGTTTCCCGTCGAAGAAAAGATGTATGTACACACAACGAATTAATTTTAACGCGCAAACGAATTGAACGTTTATTGACATATGCAGAGAGACGTTTCTCAAAGACGATTAAATTATTCTCTGAATGCAAATTAAATTACGCAACATTGAAACACAAGAAAAAAAAATAGATTTCGGCGGATGGAGCCAAATAGCGCAGACTGGGTAGAAAATAATAATTACTCGACCGATCAACCGACTTAATTAAAAAGCAGTGAAAGTAAGCTCTTCTGAGATAAATCAAATATGCAACATCGAGCAGATTCATCGGGTACAAGTAATCAAAAGTGCGAAACTGAAAATCGTAGCGAAATATACAGCACGCATGCATACTCATTATACAGTATTGTATGTACAATATCTTACATCGCAATATATAAATAGATACTTAATAAATCATGTATAATCATACACATATAAATATATATATATATATTTATATATATAAATAATATATATATTATTTACGACATAAATTTCAAACGTACTGTCAATCGTACCGTCACGATTCTCTAAGTGAATGTGTGCGCGTAAACGCGACACATATTTCAATAATAATTACAGAGCCGTGCTTAAAATGTTACATAAAATTACATTTACATCAACTCCACTTGCCGGAACGACAAAATCGAATTCTCGTGGTTCTAAACAGTTCTTTCAAGGGGGATTCATCCGTTCCGTGATGAGACTGTCGAATCGTCATCATTATGGCGGAAGGCGCGAATACACGCGCCTATGCGCTTAAGAATCCTTCCGACAAATGGAGTTTGCTATTGGCTTACGGAGATGCAAGAACAAGCTACAAACCATGCTAATTCGCCGGGAGTAGTATGGGGCTGTGGTACATACCAATGCCCGCCGATCCACATCCGTGATGCTGCCTGTTGATACTAAAATTGGGGAAAACGTGAAAGAAAACCATGTCAAACCATATTGCACAAACCATTTCCTATGTTAAGTACAATCTTGTCGTTGTACCAATCGTGTTCCCCATTCTCCACATTTCGCGCTCCAAATATGAAGTATACGCTAAACAGCGCAGGTGATTGCACAGGCTCAGCAAGAAGGTGCAGCGAGATAACGTGGGAACACGATTGTTCCGTGATAATTCTCAAAAGAGAGTAAGTCTACTTCAAACTTTCCTGGCTTATAAAATTGACCAAAGGGTCGCCTTTCGGTTCCTCGAGAATGTGTCAGCCAAAGAGGTCCGCGAAAGTCTTACACGATCTTTTCGACTTGAAGAGTTCGAAACCTTCGAGATACGTGGTACTTGTAGTTTTTTCTAGACTTCAAGGTATGCCGATTGCGCGAAACGCGACTACGAGCGCCGTTATCTTCGCTTACGGCGACGTATTTGGCCGAGTTGTTGGAATCGCTCGTCCTCTCATCGATTCGACGCGATTATTTACTCGTTATAAGAAAGGAAACTGTCGTTATGTAAAACACACTGTAGGTGGCTAACAGTCTCATAGTTAATAACCAAACAAGTGCCGTATCCTCACAGATCTCTAACGTAAATAAGGTCGTACATACGACGACGTACAACAGGCCAACTTACGAAGAACGTTTCACAAGTGACTGTGCGATAGTTCGCAAGTATATTAGTAGTTAGCATGCGTTTTCAGGGGAGCAAGGCGAAACGAAAAATTGTCTAAAAGAAAAAATCATGACGTGGCAGCGACGCGCTCGCAAAAGTCGTCGGCTGTGCTATCGTGGACTTTGCGTGACCATCCAATTATTTTCGTGGAAACGACACACATTCAATCTCGCAGAATCCCGTGAGAATAAGTTGCGTATCAGAATTTGTAACTTTATCCGAATCAGTTTTCCCGCGGAGGAAAGGTTCTGCTTTCAATGTTGCGGCTTCGTATGATACAATGAGAAAGAATTTAGGAACCGGGATATCTCAAAAGTTCTTCCTGAGACACGAACACTCGAGATCTCGTTAAAAAGGCTTTCAAAGCATTAGTAATTTTTTTAGTTGCAAGCGATCGATAATTAAAGATTTTCGGCTGAAGCTCTCAGAACGCAGACGGACACCAAGATAGTGTTGTTTAGTTAATTTTGCCAGTGTATTATTCTCGGCGAGGAAGCGAAATATACAAGATGTTTAAAAAAAAAGTTCAGGACTTTAAGAGTAAATAGTACTCTTGAAATGAAAAAAAAAAAGTTCTAATAAATGTAGGTCGAAAAATTAATATTGTCGCAGTTATGAATAATTATTTATTTTAATTAAAGGAACTGATGACTTGCTTCTACAGAAGATTACATATGTTCTTCTCCTATTTCTAGCGCCCCACATCTTCGTAGAATCGCGAACTCTTTCAAAAATCCTCGGCTTTGTTCTAATTATTTGATAGACATTTCGCATTATCTGTAATTTCCGATAGAGGGTACACCATGCTCTTAAGAAATCCCCATAAAAAGGATCTAGAGGACTTAAATCAGGAGAACGAGGGGACCATGATCCAATCCATCTTTTACAGAAGGACCTATTCAAATGTTAGACGAATTACATCAGAGAATACAAAATGTTTGTTAAATAGTTGAAACAAAGCCGAGAATTTTTAAAAGAGCTCGCAGTTTTATGGTACGAAGATCTGAAGTGTGTGTAGGAGAATCTAGGGAAACGAGTAGGTCACTTGCTTTAATAAATAATTACTAAAATAAATAATTGTTCATAACTCCGACAATATCAATTTTTCAACTCATTTTTATCAGGACTTTCCTCTTCCATTTTGTGTTATTTGCTCTCAAAATCCTTTTTTTTTAAACACCCTATATATCGAGAATAATTAGAAGAAACAAGAAGAGAAGCTCCCGTTCGATTCGGCTCGATAACGTCGCGGACGCTGCGTCTCTTTAGCGCAACGGGACAATTTGCCGAGGGCGTCAAGCTCGAGAAGAAGCGTGGAGTGTGGACGTTGAGAGCGGGTGTGGGAGAGAAGGCCGCGTGTGTGTAGCGGGGACCAGCGTCGGGGTTCCCCTCGTTTTACTCACTGTCCGACTTGCCAGACGAGAAATCAGTGCTGTGCGTCTTGTCGCCCATCCCACTGAACGAATAGTCGCCCTAGACGACAGAAAAGCGTTATCTTAGAAAGAGTGATGCGCTCGGCTCGATTATGTGTACTTTCTCTCCTTCTCTCTCTCTCTCTCTCTCTCTCTCTCTCTCTCTCTTTGTTTTCTCACTCTACGTATGTAGTATATATAGATATATGTATATATTTATGTAATTGCACTATATCAGCGCGGTGCACGTCGCCTCGTCGACTGTGACGCGGTGCAAGACTTACAGGGAGAGCAGACACGGAACCGCCGGTCGAGGAGAAGGTGTGACTTCGCGGTGCCAGACCGTACCCCGGCTTCGGGATGTGCCGAAGGGAGCTCACAACTGGTTTCAAATCAGTCAATCGACATGTGTTACTCATTAGTCTCGGCGGTGATTCAGTTCGCTCAATCCCATACGAATGCCCAACGTTCGCTTGCCAGATTCTCTTTTAGGCGTTACGTGAACCCTAGCAGGAGCCATGTCGCTCCCTCGTGTCACCAATCAAAAAATCGATCACTGTCGATGTGGGATTTCCCCCTAACCGCTGCGCCCCGATAATGACGATACTTTTGGCGTTTTTGGCGTTTTTTTCCTTTCTTTTTCTTTTCTTTCTAGTTTTGCAATTTGCCCCGACCGCGAGTCCGAATCGATTTTGAAAGACGGATATCCGTCGACACACGCGAATTCGCTACGAATAATCGAAGAAAATCGAACATGCGTTCGTGTATTTCATGTAATACCAGCCGTTTGTACTCTCGATTAGTAAAAAATTTTGAAAATTTGATAGCTAAGACACTGTTGGTAAGAAATTTTCTGTTTTATCGATCACTCAGAAGTTCGCTTCTAAGTGATCGATATTTTTGTGCGACGCTAGCACTGACTGCTTACTATTTTATCGGCTCTCTTTTTGCTTTATAATTCTTTCAACAAATTTTTATAAAAAATATATATCTTTTGGTAAATTAGTGGGATACAGTGCAAACGGCTGTGTATCGTTCAATTACCGCAGTGACTGAACGCTACTGGTATCACGTGTGAGGAAGGATATCCATGATGGCAATCATCTTGAATAAATCGTCGCACCCCCATCGGCAAACGGCGCTCAAAAGTAGCCGACAATTTCGAGTGCATCGATGAAGCATTGACTCTCGTAAAACAATGTGCAATTTACGACTAAAGAAAAAGGGTACGTAGAAAGCCAACACCCGTGTAAGTGCAACAGATTCTTCTCGTAAGCTAGACGAGCGCGCCCGCCGTGATTACAAGTCAAAAACTTTTCCTCCTGTGGAGTAAACGCGCGTTATCGAAGATACCGTACAAATGTGCGTACAAAAAATACTTTTCAGATCTCTCAGGACGGGATATCGTGACGTATTTACAACACACACAAACACACATATAATTTCCCAGCAAACACAGATATACAACTGTTACATGACAGTAATAGAACGAAATGTAATGCGCGATATAACATGCATACAGACGTTAGTAATTTCCTACTCATATGCATACAGTTATACAGGGTGTGCCAAAAAAATGGGTATCCTGGACTAACTCGGAGGGATGACGTTTTTGGAAAAAAAAAAAAAAAATGACCTTTGGAAATTTCAAAATCGTCAAGTTAACATAAGTTAGGCTACTCTTGTAACAGCCTATTCTTAAGGTTGAATAAAATAAAAAAAGTCTAATACCTCCTCTTCAATTTTTCTTCCGACGAATAGTTACCGAGACATCGTAAGCTAAATGTTGAAAAAGTTACCAAATTTTTCTTAAATATTTCAAAAAATATTAGGCAAATAAAATAATATTTCAGATAAAAGTTGTTCAAATTAATTGGTAGAAGAAAATAATATACTAAAAATGAGGGTTTTTATTTACGATTTTAAAGTTTACCTTGATTTGATCTCTAAATTTAATCCCTAAGTTCAAGTTCACCATTAGATGCTCATTTCTAAACCATAAAACTTTTGTATTCGACATTTTTTTTTTAAAACGTTATTCCTCCAAGTTAATTCATCTTTTTGATACATTCTATATAATATATTTGGATGTGCAAATTAATTCGACGCCTTTTTTAAGATTCAGTATATTTAAAAAGTCAAGTACAAGTTTAATATAATTCAAAATAATTTCCATTATTATTTTCTATGACTTTACTTCATTTGTCGAGCAACTGATGAATGTAGAAAAAAGCTTTTTTGATTCAATAAAATCATCAATGTTTTCTCAGGCCTGTTTTAAAATGTGTATCCATCAGACGATGTTGAAACAACCGAAATAGGTGGTAATCCGATGGGGTTAGATCTGGCGAATAAGCCGCATGAGGGAGAATTTCTCAGCCCAATGTATAGATAAAATTCTTTGATCCTTTTGCGGCATATGGTCGAGCGTTGCTGCGAAATCACTTGTTTAATTCTGTCGCCAGTATAAAGTTTTTTTTGCTCCAAAGCAACGCTTAAATGGATAAATTTCTATCGGTAATAGTCTGACTAAGATTCAGCAATTCATAGTAGATCACACCTTTCACATCCCACCAGATGCATAACAAAATTTTTCTTTAGTAAATATTGGGCTTCGATGTTGATGTCGACGGTTGGTCGGATCTACCCACGATTTTTTACGTTTAAGGTTGTCATACAATTTTTTATCATCCGTAATGATTTTGCATAAAAAATTCTTTCTTTTAAACCGGATCAGCAAAGATATAGCCACGTCGAATCTTCACTGTTTGTTTTCCAGACTAAGATTATGCGGAATCCATCCTTTGAATTTTTCCGAGTTAAAGTAGACGATGGGATATGAGTAGAAAAACAACACGGATGCTGACTCAAATTGCAAAATCTTCAAGCAAAATCGGATATTCATTAGTTAAATATTTGTTATCGATACCCCTTCTTTCCGCAGAATTTTTTATTGCCTCTTTGGGCAAGATGGCGGCGATGACGTCACGCATACGTCAAGAGAAAATATTGTTAGAACGAAGCTAGACTCGAACGCGAGTCCTCGGGGTTACTACGCAACGGTCCAACCACCTAGACCAACCGTAGACTGTTGCTAGTGGACGCATAGTGAAAGCTTCTCGAAGTGTGTCTCAAAGTGTGTGATGACGTCAGGCATTAATTAATTTTTAATTAATATATATTTAATTTTGTTTACCCCCATTCTTATCGTGATATAGTGACCTCATGCATATTTTGAGAAGCTCTACTATGCGTCCACTAGCAACAATCCACGACGGCCTAGGTATTTGGACCGTTGCATAGTAACCCCGAGAGCCCGGGTTTCCAGGTCTAGCTTCGTCCTAACATACATTTTCTCTTGACGTATGCGCGACGTCATAGCCGCCATCTTGCATAAAGCAATAAAAAACCTGCGGAAAAAAGGGATATCGATAAAAAATATTTAACCAATGAATATCCGATTTTGCTTGAAGATTTTGCAATTTGAGTTAGAACCCGTGTTGTTATTCTACTGATATGCATTGGTGGGTAACTATCAGTCATAGTGCAAGCTTCTACTGAGTTTGAGCAGAGTTTTCATTTAACAGTTACTCGAACTCTTCGTTTTTGAACTTTTTTTCGATTGGCCTGGACGTTCTCGATCCGAAAATTCAAAATCTCCATTCTAAAACTTCTGACACAATTTTTGCAAGTTTTATACGTCACAGCGTCTTTCCCCAAAGCGAAACAAATCATTTCTGTAGTTCCAACATTTCTTTCAATTCAAATGCAAAAAGAATGCAGTGCCTCAAATGTTACTTTTCGACCGCCATCGTATTCATTGCTATTTTGCGAAGTTATGTTAGCAGAGTCGTCAACTATTATAATACTTCTTAAAACTTAAGCGTTTTCGAATGATCATAGGACGGGACAAAAATTTTAATATGAATCAGAATCCTAAGACGTTAAATGTAAAGGCACCAAATAAATTTACACACCTAATATTAATGAATCAGTAACAAAACAACTGTTTCTAAGTTTTTAACTGAAGGTTGCAATGAATTAAAGCAAACAATAATTCATCCGCAAAATGCAAGTTACGAAATAATTCATACTAACAGTAAAAGTAAATAACAGAGCAGTATAACAATTTGATAACACAGTTATGTTGCAATTATAAAAGGAGATTAAATAACTTTAACATATATATCAATAATTCATAACAGCAGTTGTATACTTTCTGCTCAAAAAGTATCCGGAATTGTTCATTTAAGTGACGCGCGTTTATATTTTAAAATCCTTTTGTGATTAAGTTGGTACCACTATTATACTTAACTTCCATAAAAAATTGAAGTGCAATCTGTCAATTAGTTTGTTCGCGGCAGCTGTTTATGTCAGTCGACTTCAGGGTATCATCTGCGATTTTTACGATGTCGAATATTGTGAAGCAAAGAGCTTACCTTAAATTTTGTGTTTTCGATAAAAATTTCTTGTACTGACGCGTTGAAAATGCTATAAAAAACCTGTGGGAATAACTTTCATTTCAACGTATTTCAAAAACACAGGCGTATGAGTGATATAAATTGTTCAAAGAAGGTCAGCCGTCGAAGACTTGCCTCGTTCTGGTCACCCATCCACGTCAAATACCGACGAGAACGTTAAAAGAGTGAAGAAATTAGTGCTTGGAAATCGCCGTGTGAGTGAAAGAGAGGTTATTGCCGAGCTTAACATATCAAATGGTTCTGTCTATACCATTTTGACCGAAGACAGCTTATGGATTTTGCATCACGATACTGCACCGTTACTCACATCGCTTCTCGTATGTGACTAGTTAACCAAACACCCGACTAATATCATTCCGCAAGCACCATACTCGCCAAATATGGCACCCTGTGACTTTTTTCTTTTCCCAAAACTCAAATTACCGCTTCATGGTAAACGTTTTGAGACGACTGAGACAGTAAAAGAGAATTTGCTGAAGGAACTCAAGGCCATATCAAAATCGACTTATGAAAAGTATCTTGAAGATTGGATTAAGCGTTGGCATATGTGTGTTGCACAGAATGGGACCTATTAGGGGTATGCAAGTTTCCATCGTTTTTTATTAATATTATCATAAATGACATAGTACCTTTAATCGAAATATTTCTCGGCATTATCTAGTACTTTTTGCCATCTTTTAGACAAAAGACGGATAATAAAAGAAGTCTTTGTTCTTAGAATGAATAAAGTTATTGATGAATTGTTATATTTTCTCAATATTGCGAAATTATATACCAGAAAGACTGTGGTACTGCATAGAACAAAGTAAATAAAAATCTAATGGAGTAATATCTGGAGAACATGACGAGCGTGATAGGACTTCCTATTGCAATTCCATTAAAGTTTCCCGGGTCGTCAATGCAACATAGGGCCTGGCATTGTCGTGCAGAAAAATCACTTTATTTTACTTTGTCGCAAAATATGGCCGTTTCTCGATCAATTGTTCATTCAACTACCTCAATTCTCGACTATATAATTCTATGGTGGTAGTCAGATGGTTTTAAAGCTTATAATACAACGCTTCTTGCATGTCCCACTACAGGAGGACTTTATGACCATGGATACTTCATTTTGACTGTGATGTAGAGGATTCTCCGGGATTTACCCTCTTTTGCAATTGGGATTATCATAATAAATCCATTCTTCGTCTGCGATCACAATTCAATACAAAAAAGACTTGTATTTGTGTCTATTGCGCAGTGAAAAGCAAATGGTAACTCGGCTGACAATAGCGTTCTCGAATAATTCATGGGGAACCTATTTTCCTTCCTTCAGGATTTTCCCCATCTCATGCAAACGTCGAATAACAATACTCTGATTAATATGTAATCTTTTCATACGTTCTACACTCGATCGAGTCGAATCTTCTTGCAATAACTCTTCCAAGTCATCCGAATTTATCTCTTGTGGTCGCGCGGCACGCTCCTTGTCTTTCAAATCAAAATCGCCACTTTTAAAGCGTCAAAACCATTCATGACATGAACTTTCAGCTATCGTTCCCCCATCATAAGTTTCGCGAATGATTCTGCTTCGGCAACTGTTTTGCCTTGATGAAATAAAAAAAGCATACAATGACGAACATACTGACGAAATCTTATCGACTTCCATCTTCATATGAATTAAAAATGTTTATGTCAATGAATATGACTTATTACGCATCAGTTTCTATGCGGATTGACCAATATTGACATAATCTAACAAAAATGCGTCGCAACTTTCATGTAAATAATTCACAATGCCATCTATACGTAAACGATGGAAACTTTTCCATGATCCCTAATATTTTGAAGATAACACAATAAATTTACCTGAATAATTAAATATTTTGTGTTTACTGCCCCATTTTTTTGGTACTTTTTGAACAGAAGATATTACGTGTTACTCGTACGTCATATAACAGTTATATTCTATGCTTGCTGGGTTGCGGTCTGATACATGAAGAGTGTACATCTCGGAAATTGCACTTGTCATGTATTAACTTTCAATACCTTAATAAAAAGAAAGAAAAAAAAAACAGATTAATCATCTACCAAAACAATCTCTACTCAACGTTTCATCGTCAAGTACACGCCTTTCTCGCATGCCTATCTTACACGTGCTCACAGAGAAACGTGCGCAACTTGTGCAGGAACACCTGATATCCTCGCACCAGCTTCTGCCTCTGCACGAGACAAGATAACGAAACAAGATAACGCGAGAGATAACGGTGAGACCGAACGTACTCCGCACGAGAGACTAAAGAGAGCGAGAAACCGCTCGCTCGCGAGGACCCGCTTCGAAAGACGCGAAAGAGAGAGCGGACTCAGGCTTTGACTTGGGACCAACGGCGGGCGAATTGGAAAGTTTTCGGACTCACCGAATGATAGTGCCTAGTGGCGTTTGGAAGAGTGAAGGCGCGCTGAGTACCAAGGGGTGGATAGTTTCTGGGAGCCGGGGAGCGCGCCGATGACCTCCCAACTGCCGCCCACGCAAACACAACACAAACACAAAAACACAAATAGAGACACGATGATAGTAGACGACAAGTAAAGTAGCGTCGTATGACTGACGTAGGTTGCCGCAAATATACACTGTTAAGCCTGGCGCGCTAAAAAATTTGGGGGAGCAGAGGGGAAAGAGCATTAGCGTCGCGATTGTTTGCGTCGACGTTGCGTTTATTCGCAATTATCGTGAGAGACGCGCGATCGAGTTTCTTCCCTCTTTTCCGCGCCGATAATTGCCGGGCAACGCGTGACAGCGTGGAGATTGTAATACAATTAACGGACATCTCTCGGTTCGTGTCATCAGCGACCAGCGACATGCGGCGGCAATTTGCGATGCGGCTATTTACACACGACGCGGCAATTTGCGATAACAATGCAATTAAACGAGAGTGCACGTTTGATCGATGGAAATTTTAATTGTCCTTTTCGGTGTCGTTCCCCGACTGTGTGCGCAACCTTCCGCTATCACGTGAAAGCGCAGCAATTGACGAACGTCTCGCGTTAGCGCGCCAGGTTTAACCGATGAATCAACATTGGAAGATACCGTGAAGCAAAATTTGATATATCTGTCGAGAAAGAAGCGGAGGTGTGCGGTGCAGAAAGAAATAACCATCATGCGCCGTAGTAATGAAACAAAACGATTGTCACGCCGAATTATCTTCCAACATTGTGAGTGACTTGTCGTCGCTAGGGATGTTTCAGAATGAGCCGTTTCTAAGAACGTCGGTGAGAAAAGCATCCTTTCGTCGTCAATCAATTCAAGATCGCATCAAGTCGATCAACAAGCGCGCGCTTTCAGCTACTTTTGTACTCCACTTGTCCATTGTCGCTCATTAAGCAAATGGTGGAGGAACAAAGATACGACAAACGAACTCCGCTGTTTTCGTCACGCAAGGTGATGTTGCAAACGCAAAGTAAAACAAAACGCTGAGTTCAGTCCTTCAGTCTGTCCGTTTTCGTATGTTCTAGGTCAGTCTGGACTAAGCGTTCGCTTCTGCCGAACTTGGGATGAACGTTAATCGCGAGAGTGATGAGATGCCTCGCCGAAGGCGGCGACAAAGTCGACTCTTTCAAGGTCGATTACCTGAAGTAATCCAAACGTACGAGTTCTATGATCGTGCTGCGAGAATGAGAGTGATGTGCGTCAGAGCAATGTGTGTTCGTGTGATGATGAAGAACTTTTCGTAGTCCCAAGTGCCATGCAATAGTTATTAAGGACAGCTACAGTTACCTCGGGATACGATTTCCAGGGCTAAAGATTGCAATGGAGGTTTAATTGTCCGTTATTATTCGGAGGTATTGGTTGACGCGCGGGCGCCGGCCGCAGTTCGACGAACGGAGGTAACAAATGAAGGCAAGCACATCGAAATTAGGGACGATATAACATGCATAGGCAGAAATACATCACCTGTTAGATTAATGGGCGTCCGGTACGTGTGGTGGTGGTAGTAGTAGTAGTAGTAGTAGTATTGGGTGCTATATATGCCACTCATATAAAACAATGTCCTACTCTCGAGGAGAGTTACGTACGTAGGTTAGGATATTATCGGTATACTGTTAATAATTAGCGTGAATCCCTCCCACGTCTCACAAGATCTCGGCACTCGCCGACGTCGTGCTCCACGAAGCAAACGTTTTAGCGGCAAAAACGGGACCATTTACGACCTCCCGCCCTGGGAAACCCCGTTCTATCGAGAGACTCATAGTGTTCTCTAATCGATGTTACTTCAAAGAGTGGTATATGTTAGTGTCATGTGCGAACGTGTGGACATGTATGAGATGATCGTTACTTATGTTAATGAGACAATTACGAGTAGCGCTTGCAATAGCGGATGGACACTCACCGTTGTAGCTAGGCCCGCTGGATCGGTAGCTAAAGCCATCGTCATCCTCCCAAGGCCGTGCATGGTCGATATTTCGCGAAGGCGCTGCGCAAAATGTTCATCGAGTTATTCGCTTTGTAGAGAACACCCGGATCGGACGTAGAGTCCATCGCGTTTGACCAATCAATTCCTTCTAATCCTTATGATATTCCCTCAATAAATACAATTATTTTAACTTCATCTGGATTTACTCTTATTCGATATCCCATCATTCAATATTTAATGACAATTTTTATGAAAGCAATTTACTTTCAACTGTTATACCCTCGAATTATATTTATATTTTTCCTTTTATGAATATTCTGAACCACCATTTACAATCTTTGATTCAATCTATGGTTCTATCTATTTCTTTCATCGCAACTAGTCTTTATGTAATTATTGGAACCTTATTTTTATCTATTTGTTTATTACAAATAAATAATCTTCATTTTTATCCTTCTCATCATTTTGAATGAAGCTGCTACTTGATGTTGACATTTTGTTGATGTGTTGTATGCTTATTTCTATATATTTCTATTCATTAATAAAGGTATTAATTATTATCTATATAGTATATATATAAATTAGAACCAACTTCTAATTAATAAAATTAATTAATTAATATTGATTATATTTTTAGCTTTTTATTTTTAATTATTTTAATATTATTATCTTCTCCAATATTTTCAATATTTTTATTAAATTAATTATTTGCAAAAAAATTACTTAAAATTGAGAAAACAATTCTTATAAACGTGGATTTGATTCTGTTTTCATTCACAAATACCATTAAGTTCTTTTTAATCGGTTTAATGTTTTTAATTTTTAATATTGAAATTTCCTTATCCTTCCTTAATTCTATTAACTCTTTCGTTAAGAAAAATTTAATTTATTAACGAGTTTAACGAACAATACTTTTCCCCGCAAATTTTTAATTACATCCTCAAATAAATTTATGGAGCAAACATGCTCGAATTATACCCGATTCAACAAGCATTTTAAAAGGGTGAAGGGGGCGTAATCACGAACCAAAAGACTATATCACGGCAATGTTCACTAATTAACTGACCAATTAAATCTGTGCTACACGATACGCATAAACATACACCCGCGCTCGACAAACCTCAACAAGATTCGACAACTGATTGCATCAAACTCAAACAAAAACCACACCAGTCTCATATCTATATTACATAGTTGGGGAAATTTTTCTATTAAATTGTTACGAAGTTACAAAGTGTGTATGTAACTTACATGCACCAACAGGACTTTCGTAACGCAATCTATACGTGGGCTCCCTGGCAGCGGACGGTGTCCTCGAGGCATTTCTGGGATCCACGTTCGCGGCCTTGTGTCGCAAATTCTCCCGGTCCTTCTCGCGATCTTGCAGGAATACCTTGGCTATTCCCGTGTCGATCTTGCTCAATTCGTCCTGTTCCTTCTTCAGTTTCTGCTCCGCCTCCTTGATATATGTCTTGTTGTCTACTTCGTCCTCGTCGTCAGATGCAGGTACTCCCTGAATGAGAAACGTCCCGTTACAGTAACACTAATTAAGCGACACAATGACGCGTCGTTAGGAAAACTAAATGGTGAAATCCTGAAATAGCGGAGACTGAATTGTAAGATTACTTTGTAGGTATCGGACCATCGTCTACGTCTTTCAGGATCAGTGTAAGGATACGGCGGAGCAGGAAAATCGTCTCTCTCGATCGGCGGCTGTGCTCCGGGCGGCGGCTTCATCGCGTCCGGATAATGCGCCAGTTCGATCGGCTCATCGTTATCCACCTGGCTAGCAGGTGATTTCGGTCTGGTGTCGTTCAGAGCGTCGACCAAAGCCCTCATTCCCGATCTGCTGCTGCGTCCGCCGCTGCTTCTTATCGAACGAGATGCTGGTCGGAACATAGAAGCAGAAGCACACTCTTGAACTGAGCCTTTCCCTCGGCGTGAATTGGCATTCCGATTCCATGTGAATTTACGAGTGTAAGAACTGAGAGGAGAACAACTTCTAGGAATCCTAATAGTACTGTATACGTGTGGAAAACTTACAGCTAGGTCTATGGAAATGCGGGCTAGTTGGGGGTTTATCGTACGGCTGTATCGGACGTCTCAAATATCCCTGACTGGGCGTTTCAGTCAAGTATGAGTACGTATAAATCCTAGACACATCTTCCGGCGCTCCTCGTCCGTATTCTCTCAGGATCAGACCGGGACTTCCAGTTCGCGCTGGATAATACTGAGGCAATCAATGCATCTTATCACGCGTGTGGCACAGCAATTGCTTCTTATGGATCTGAGTACTAATCTATCAGACTGTACGAGGCGCACGGAAAATCCGGAAGCAAATTTCGCTCAGATTTCTTGGCCTGCGCTCTAGAATCACTCAAATTTTCGATGCGCCTCTGTAGAGAAAGAAGATTATGGTGCACGGCGAGCGACGCTCTGTCAAAAAACGTATTCATTTAGCTTGCAGCAATCTGACTTATGTTTCGTAATTTCCGATACGTACAATCGAATAATAACATTAGTCGTCCCTCGCATTTATAGCGTTGATGAGCTACAGATGCGGTTTAAAAAATGACGGACAATGACGGAGACCAAAGTATCCATTAAAAGATGCGTGCGACTAAATTTTATCGTCTCGCATGAATTCACTGGTGAATTTTAGCAGGGTTGGGAAAGTTACTTTGTAAAAGTATCTAGTTACAGTTACAGTTTTTTTCACTGAAAAAGTAACTAGTTACAATTACAAGTTAATGACCTTCAAAACTAACATGTTACAGTTATAGTTCTTTAGAAAGTAACGAGTCGTTACTTTTCAGTTACTTTTTTATAATAATTGTGCTATTATTTCAAATTTCGTAATTGTGTAAATTCCTTCAATTTTATATAAAAATAGTTTGTTGATTATTATATTCCTCATATTTTATATAGTTTTTACAAATTAGATTCATTAAATAAGCAATTCATACATATATTCTTTAAGAATGTTAATAACAACTGGTCAGAGAAATGCCCAGTTGTTCTCGTTTCCAAGTTTTTGCTGTAACTCGAATATTTCTGCATATACTAGCCATGGCATTTTACAATCCTTCTCCGAAGATTGAGATGTTTTATCTATTGCTTAAATTTTTTATATAACTGAAACCACGCAGTGCACTTCACACTGAACGCAGGTTATGTTATGTTAACAAATAAAGACTGGCGACGTGCGACGAAAATGCCCGATAGGCGTACAATTTTTTTGAAAGAAATATAGGTTGCGTTCGGAGAGGAAACTATCAGCGCTATTGCGTCATTTTATCCTTGTTTTACATCTAATGAACGATAAAAATAGATGATGCAATAGCGCATTTTCCAATGCAGCCAGAATAACTGTATGCTTATTGGATATCAAGCATCGCACGTCGCGTTATCGTGCTAGTCTGCCAGAAACTTAAGTTTGAAATATATAAAGTAACTGTTAAAGTAACTATTAAATTAGTTGCTAGTTATGAAACAAATGTAACCAAGTTGAGTTACAGTTATAAATGGAAAAAAGGAACGAAGTTCAGTTATACACCCTCTGTCCCAAAAATAACCAGACTGGCTCTATTTTAACGAAATTAGCGTCGCCTTCTGTTAGTGGGAGATTAAGTTAGGAAGTGTCAACCTTCCTTAATAACCTGTAAAAATTTCATGACATTTCGTTCACTAGAAACCAAGATACGACACATTTAAGTGACAGTAGTTTGATACCTCGGTCGAAAAATAAATAAAGAATATCCACAAAGAATTCATTCCAAGTGGTACAACGGTTAATGCTCAGTATTATCTTAGTGTATTGAAGCATTTGGTAGACCGTATTCGTCGTGTTCGCCCTGAATATCGAGAACCGCGCAGTTGGCAATTGTTGCACGAAAATGCAACGATTTCTCATCGTTCGTCAATTGTCACTAATTTTTTTACCAAAAGTCAAATTTTATTGCTTCAACATCCCTCGTATTCACCCGATTTGGCACTCTGCGACTATTTTCTATTCCCTAAGTTGCATTTGGCGATAAAAGGAAACCATTTTGCATCAATTGAAGACATTCAACGGTCAACGACGAGCAATCTCAACACCATTCCAATCAACGACATAAAAAAGTCATTTGATGCACTTCTTGAAACGTGCAAATCGTTGTATTTCTGCTGAGGGAGAATATTTCGAATAAATAAAACGATTTCTGTCAAGATTTCTTAACTATTTTTGTTTTTTTTTTAAAGCCATTCCGGTTATTTTTGGGATAAAGGATTAGTTACAAAAAAAGAAAAAAAACTGTAACTGTAACTTCGTTACAAGCAACGAGTTACCCTTCCCAATCCTGAATTTTAGATATGCATTTGGCATAATGCGCAAACCGACAAAGATGATAATTTGGACAATTTGTCTCAGTGGGTTCACTTATAGCGTCATTTTCCATCCGACGGGTCAATAGAGTTGAAATCGGATCGCGGGCGTCTGACAGAGCGAGGGCACGCGATGCCAAGAGCAGAGGCGATACCACGCAAAAAGTGATACCCGAAATACTCGTCGGGAGTGCTGTGCTAAGTGACACATGGCATACCTTGCGACTGAGGCTGCTGTAAGGGCTGCACAGCGATCCGTTCAGGCTTGGCGTGCGTGACCGCAATGAAAACTATACAAAATGATCGTGCGAAAAAAAGTAAACAATGATTAAAAGAAGCGGTAATAAAACTTAATCAAATCAAGTACACGATAATATAATTACGCGATGTCTCGTTTCGTTTCTCTCGTACGTCGAGGCGTGCGCGAAACGAGAACGACGAGAGGGAAACGATAAACCAGCCGATCTCCGAGGCAAAAATCAAGCTATACACAAAGCTGACAAAGTTGTGTTCCCTTAAGAATTCACAAGGTGTGTCCCGCTCTATACTGTCCACTATACAGAGTTATTGTTACACCGACAGTTTTACACACACACATACACACACACATACACACGCACACACGTACAAAGTGTGTATTACACGACGAAGTGCTCCGCAAAATTCGCGGGGGACGCAAACTGATACGTCTGTACGAGTATCCGACACCTCTCGAGTAACTTCTCGGACACTCGAGAGCGCGAAACACTTCGCCCTTCTTATAATCGTAAACCGATACACTTGATTATGCAGACAAACACAACTAACAATGTACAATGCAGCTACGGTCGAATGATGCGAGCAGTAGACATAAATAGCAGCATGCATTCCTCTTGAACTCTCTTAGCAACACCGGCATATTAATGTCGGGCTCGTATTAAGTAGCAAGCGGGACACAACTGCGCTAACTATTGAATCATACGATGCTGAACACTCGCAATCTCGGTTTTCTAAGTCTTTTTCGTACACACTCTTTCCGATCAAGCGGACTTTCTTGGAGCGGGTCGAGTAAAAAGATGGACTGAACAAAACGGATTGAATAAAAAAAGAAAAGAAAAACGAAACAGTATCTGACAAAATCAGGAGGGGAGGAGAATCAAACACATTGAACACTCACGATTACTTGAGATACACTACTACATACCAAGTTGCTACACACAATCAGTCTACCTGGTGTCAGTTTTTTGTACAATGAAATCAAGAGAAGAAAAATAAACGCAAGCTCTCGAGATAGCCTGAATCAATTATGATACACGAATGTACAGAATAAAAATGACCCGGGCGGTGAAATCGCCGGAATTGCGAGGCGCAACCGGACTTACCTGCATTTCCGAAGCGCTGCTGGAAATCCGCTCCGACTCCCGATGCTGCGGGGTCTCCCCGTGTCCGTTGACGATGCCGTTGGGTCCGGTAGGTCCCGGGCCGCAGCGTGGATGCCAGATCGCCGCACCTTGCAGGTACATCTCCTCCCCGTCGCCGAACGGGTCGCCACACTTGGTGCAACGTGCGCAGGTCGGGTGGAAATGATGATTGTCGCCTGCCTGCAGGACCTTGCCGCTGATGAAGCGGTTGCAATAGGCGCACTTCACTCCGAACTGCTTCTGGTAATCCTTCTCGCAGTAAGGCACGCCGTCTCTGTCGCAGGGAGGAGTTTTAACGATTCAAAACCTGGCTTCGGTGCATATCCGATAACGCTACATTGCTCTCAACACGTTCGATGCGAGTGGCACCAATCGGCGACGTTGGTGTTCCTTTCCTCATGCATGTGACTCTTTTTAACGCACGTTACCAGAAAGTATTTTTCATCCTTTGGTTAAAGCAAAAAAAATGATAACATATCAAGTGACATTGTGCAAAATTTTGAATGGGGCATAAGAGACACGTGACGCTCCTTGGAACAGCGTCTCCTGTGCAATGCGCAGCGAACATGTTGGAAGAACCAGAAGTACGAAAGTTTGAACTCGAGCAAAGGAGAAGTTTCAAAATATGCGAGGCGTTCTCCCAAAAATAGTAAGAGTGTAATTTAGTTTTAAGGGGTTTGCAAGAGATGGCACTAGTGTCAGTTTTGTTGAAGATATTCCAATCACAGCTATTGTTTCTTAATGCTTTAATATTAAACCATGATATTTAGTAATTTATTGACAACAGACGCAGTAAAAATCGTGTTAATGCCATCTTAAAAATGGAGCTTCCTAAAGAGCATTTTCGACATACGTTACTTTTGTTTTTCAATCAGAAGAAAACGGCGGTTGAATTCTTAGAATTCTGATAGAAACTTATGATGATGTTGCTTCATCGATTAAGACAGTGAATATTGGTTTAGACGACTCAAAAGTGGTGCTTTCAACGTTAACGACAAAGATCGTTCGGGACAACCAAAAAAGCTTTGAAAATGAGCTTTGCAGATTTGCAAGCATTATTGGACGAAAATCCAGTATAACCCACTTCAGAACCTATCAGAGCATTAAATGTTGATCGTACAACAATTACTAAACATTTACATGATATGGAAAAAATTCATGAAGGAAAATAGGTTCCACATCAATTATGGGAAAATGCCATTGCGAACCAGTTGAACATTTCGCATTTCACTGATGACCGCCAGACAAAAAAATGAAGAATATTGAATATCGAATATTGAATTGTTACTGAAGATGAAAAATGGATCTATTTCGATAGTCCCAAATGAAAAAAATCATAGATTGATCCAAGCCAACCAGCAACATCCACTTTGAGGCGTAATATTCATGGTTCAAAGGTATTGCTGTGTATTTGGTGCGTTCAAGAAGCTGTTGTGTACTGTGAACTGTTAAATGCGAATGAAGCTGTCACTGCTGATCGTTATCAATAACAATTATACAAATTGAAGCGAGCATTGAACCAAAAACGATCACCAATTGCGAGTAAACGACGCAAAATGATCCTTCTTCACGGCAATGCTCGACCTCATGTTGCATTATCAGTGAAACAAACGCTGTTAGAGCTGGGAATGGGAAGTCTTATCGCACCCCGCGTATTATCCAGACATTGCTCCATCCGATTATCACTTGATCCGGTCGATGCAACATGCTCTAGAGGATATACATTTTCATAACTTCGAAGAAGCGCGAAAATTTGTTGAAAATTGTATCAATTCCAAAGAAGAATCTTTTTATCGTCGTGAAGTCTCTTGCCATAAAGATGGGAAAAAGTTGTAGGAAACGAAGGAAAATATTTTAATTAAGGTATTCGTTAATATTTTAATTAAGGTATTCGTTCATTATTTTGTTTAAGTAAATCAGTTGTTGAGAAAGAAACCCTCAAAACTAAATCGCACTTCTAATGTATTCGCTAGATTGAGAACAGGAGTATCTTGTTAGAGCAACGTACAAGTACCTCTTCTTAGGGTCTAACTAACTCACTTTCCCATGTACTCCCCGTGGAGCACAGTGTCGCAGCTGTGACACTTGAAGCACCAGACGTGCCATTGGCGATCGAGCGCTACCAACGCCTGACCTTCTCTCAATTGGTTTCCGCAGCCGGCGCATGCTCCAGGGTCGGTGTGCCCGTCGCCGGATCCTCTGGTGCCGGCGCTATTACCAATTGGCGTGGAGGCCTCGCGGACCGGTATGCCGACGCATCGGTGACAGAGCGCCTGACCTACGAACAATGCACAGTTAGTTGAGATTAATGAGATCCGGTCGGCGTCATCATTAACCTTCGCGTCGCGTGGCGATTGTCCGCGCCAAAATGAGAGATTTATCGTCCAATTCCACGCATCTCTCCGCGGGGCCTATCGCTCGTCAGGGATAGACGAATCTAAGATCGCGCGACTCCGAGCGCCACGCTGGATTATTACCGTCGCGCGAATAACCAGCGAATTGGCACGATACTGCTGTATGTGTCGCTGCGTCCTAATTATGACGTTCTTTAAATAACACTTTGTACGTGTCACGTCTGGAACGCATCATCGCGCGTCGGCTGATTAAAGGAGCGAAATTTGTCGCGGAATGAAACGCGATGAAGGATGGCAATTCCACTGGTTTTTCTCGCATTGGAACTCCAGCCCACGTGCGAAAGAAGGATGATCAGTAAGGCCGTCTTTTTGTTCTCACAGGAGTTACAAGAAACAATTTTTATCGGATGAGAAAAAACTCGTTCCGTAAAGCTAAAATTAATTATCTAGGTCGAAGTACATCACACACTCTACTTAACACCTTTTCATGACTAATAAGTGGACTAATAAAATATTTTCGCTCATTATACTCTTGTCTCTCTGCCATCGCATTAACGTCATTTTAGACTACAAGATTAAGGTGAATACAACTCATAGTAAAAACATTAATTTTTTATTACTCCTGACATGAAAGTGTCAATAATAAGTATGTCACTATTAGCTGCCTGTAAACTTTAGTCTCCAGGTCGCGTCAAGGCTGTAATCATTGCAGAGGTTTTATCTCTTTTTTATTTTAATTTTTTTTATTTTGCTTTTTATTTTTTGTTTCCCTATTGTTTAAGTTTTTTTTCTTTTTTTCTTTTTTTTCTTTCTTTTTCTTTTCTTTCGGACATATTAAACACTACAATTGTAACTTTTAACCCTTTGCAGTCAGAATACCAGTACAGCCAGCATAAATATTTATTCCAGCGAATCGGGATGCCAGGTATGCTGGCATAAAAAAGATTTGAAGACGGAAAGCAATAAAATGAAGTGACAACATTAAAGGAAATAATGATTTCTTTTTGTAGCTTTTCCAGAAATTTAGAAATTATATTTATAATTATCGAGTTGATAGAAGAATAATGATGATTGCTCAGAATTAGACGATTCTTCTTGCTCATTTTCATCCGTCCTACTGAATAAATAATGAGCAGTATCACTTATATTATTTTCAAAATCTCTTGACAATCTAAAATGATGTTAATATGATAGCAGAAAAATATAATAAGCCAAAATATCTCATTAGTCTATTAGTCGAAAATGGCTTAGATATCGTAATGATACAGCTAGACTAATAATTAATTTTATCTCTACAGATCGAGTTTTTTCTCATTTAATGGTTATTTCTCACATTCCTAATGATCATGCGATATAAAAAAAGAGTTGTTTTTTTGCAAAATTCTATGGGGGCAGAAAAATTGACCTTCATTGACCCTCCTTCTTTTATGTGCAAAATGCATTGACCCAGTAAGCGATAAATCTGTGTACGTCGCATCGGATTTTTGCTTTCGACCGCGTAATCGTTACAAGGACACAGTTAGCGCTAACGCATGGCCTTGTAAGCGTGTACATAACGATATGCCTAAGTGGCAATTTGCCTCTAACAGATTGACTGCCACGCTAATTGTGAAAGCTGCATCAAAGTGAGGTGCATGAGCCGCTCGCTACGCAACCTCCGCACGCACCGCTATTTACAATTGGTAGAAATTGCCGGCTATTCAAATTAGCGGCTTTTACACGTCACACCCGTCGCACGCTCAGGCGAAACTGCTTAACCTGCTTTCAGCGCGTCAACGTGCGACCAATCCCAATGGAATACTTTACGAGTGTAAGGAAAAGTATCGAGGTCTCATCCTGTACCATTCATAGCATCTGTCGCCGATGTAAATGTAAAATCTTGATGAGCATGTAAGTTGCTACTTCTCAGGTAAATCGGTGAACTTCGGCAGCTTCGAATGAGATGAGAATTAATCGCTCAAGCATGTACCTTGCACTAGAGATACTTTCGTCCCCTGTCCTAGTAGCGGCTGCCGGCATCTTTGGCAATGGAAACAATTTGGATGAAACGTGTACTTCTCGCCGGCTGTCACAACATCACCCTCCACGTACTCCCCGCAACCAGCGCATCGCGTTCCCCAGCGTTCCCGATAGTCCTGTAAGCAACGTGACAAAATGACACGTGTATTGTGAATATAAGTTATCAGCAGCTAGTGTGAGACCCTTCATTTTTATTCAACAAAAATCAAATTATTATATCAAATTAAATCATACGTTTTTAACAAAATGTAATTCTGAGTTCACAAGCTGAAAATCTGAAGATGACCATTTTTGCAAATACGAACTACCACTTTGTAGCTATCGATAAAAATAATAAAATTATATATAAGGTGTCCCATTTTAAATAAACCAGGCAAAAATCTCGAAAAATATGAGAGATATTAAAAAACGTTTCAGACTAAAGTTGTACGGTTTCAAAGGGAACATAAAACAACTATATTGTTTTGTTTACAAATAGCGCCACTTTCGAGATATTCACTGATCATTACTTTTCTTAAATGAAAACCCCAATTTTTATTATATCATCTTTTTCTATCAATTAATTTTAACAACTTTTGTTTGAGACATTTTTTTTTTATTGGCCTAATACTTTTAAGGAAAACTTGATAACTTTTTCAATACTTAACTTACGATATCTCTATTTGTCGGAAGAAAAAGTGATACTAGACTTTTTTATTTTATTTGACCTCAAGAATATATTGTCACAATAGCGCCCCAACTTTTGTTAATTTGATGATTTTGAAATTTCCAAAAGGCAATAAGTTAACAAAAGTTGGGGCACTATTGTAATAATATATTCTTAAGGCCAAATAAAGTAAAAAAGTTTAGTATTATTTTTTCTTTAAACAAATAACGAGATATCGTAGGTTAAATATTGAAAAAAATTTTCTTTAAATATTTCAAAAAATATTAGGCAAATAAAAAAAATGTTTCAGACAAAAGTTATTCAAATTAATTAACAGAAAAAGATGATATAACGGTGATATAATAAAAGGATAAAGATGATATAATAAAAAATTGGGATTTCCGTTTAAGAAAAATGATGATCGATAAATATCTCGAAAGTGGCGCCATCTGTAAATAAAATGATACAGTTGTTTTATGTCCTCATTGAAACCACACAACTTTTGTCCGAAACATTTCTAAGTATCTTTCATATTTTTCGAGATTTTTGTCTGGCTCATTTAAAATGAGACACCCTGTATAATATAACTATTGTATTAAATTAATAATAAGATAAAAAAATTACGAAATTAATCGTTAATTAAAAATGTTTATTTATGAAAAAATTTATGAAAGAATGATCGCTCTTTTGACACTGGACTCAGGAGCAATACTCCTGACGACAACTCACCTTGGTACAGTAGTAGGTGCCCTCGCGCGCAAAGAAGCCACCCTGCGCCAAGCTAGCGTTGCATTGGGCGCACTTGAAGCACCCGATATGAAAGTATTTGTCTTGAACGCGCAGCACCTCCCCGCTGCACTTCTTCTTGCAGGACTGGCAGAACGTTTTACCTGAAACGAGAAAGCGTTCACATCAATCGGGTGTCGCACTTCCACGCAGCGCGGAGTTATCGGTTTCAGGTCGGCGTAGTTTAGTAGCGAGCATGATTTTCTCCTTCGCGAGAAGGAGACTCTCTCGGGATAACATCGTATGAGTCACGCACCTGCCCGCTCATTCGCTCGTGCCTGATCGCGTGAGATTTCTTTCGCGTGTGTTTACGCAACAATGACGATTCGCATCGTCCATTCGCTCGCTTGCATCCGCGCGACCACGGATGCTCGTCAAAGCGCTTCTCACTTTCAGCAATTGCATAACGCACCTGTCGCCAACTAATAGAACGCATTACGACGCCCGCTATTCAGAAGAACCGAATGTAGTCCGCGAATAATTAACAGCGGTTCCCGTTAAACGTTGCCGTTAAAAATAACGCGCTAATTTACTCGTTACAGCTATTTGACATACTTATTAACCCTTAAAAGCTACCATCAACGAAAATCACGTTAATGCTATGCATGGGTGAAGTTTCAGCCCAATATGTAATTTTTTATCCTAGAAATCGAAAAAGTCAAACAAATATGATTAAATGTTTTAATATTATTGAATGTTAGATAAAACGTAGAGAAATTATTGTTTGCAGCCGATAATTTAACATTCAATGAGACCAACACAAAATTCGCATAGGGTGAAATTTTACCCATGGCAGGGATTTTCAAGGATTAAGTAGAAATTCCAGAAAACTGAATTTCTTTGCGATTTTACATCACAAACATTCCGGCTCGACTTATGGACCGATATAACTTTATTGCATCCAATAGAGACAAATTATGTAGAAATCCCCGTTGTTGAAAAAAGAACATTGCCTTTCTACAGTTCTCGCAGCATTTGTACACCTTAAACCCTTTGAGGCACGTATTTTTCAGAAAATCCAAATCACATGAAAATTTATATACGGTGATTTCTGGGGCTGCTGATGACAAATCCGAAATCAGATTTTCGAAATTCAAGATGGCGGATCCAAGATGGCGGATGCAAAAATGAAAAATCGCGATAATTTCGGTGACATCAGTGATTCGTAATCAGCGACCTGGAAAGCTAACCAAAGTACAATTTCAGTTAATCATATAAAAATTTTACGATCCGCCATCTTGGAAAATAAATTTTAGAATTTGGACCTCAGATTCGTAATCAGCGACCTCAAAAATTAACCAGAGTACAATTTTAGCTAATTTAATAAAAATTCTATGATCCGCTATTTTGAATCCGCCATATTGAAAAATTAATTTTGGAATTTAGACCTCAGATTCATCTCATCAGATAATCAGCGACCTAAAAAAACCCTCAAATCTTAATTTTGAGCAAAAAATTCACTCATAGTTCGTGAAAAATTATTTTTTTCTGTGAAAATGTGTATTTTTCACACTTTGTTTATTTATAATAAATGGACAACTTAAGCAAACACATTTCAACCTTTCATGTATGTTCCCATACATATCTTATAAGAAGCTAAAAAACGTAAGAAACCCGATAAGAATCCCTCAAATATGAAATATTTCATGAAAATATGAGAATAAATATAGTAAGTAGTAAGTATACTTACCACTATGCCTCAAAGGATTAACGATAGAAAACTGAGCCGATCTTTTACATAACCTCATAATCTTACACAATTTTAAGCAAATGTCTCTGGGGCTCAAGTGAAGCGAGCTATCGTTCGACAGAGAAAGCTTTCTGTCGCTTTTTCTTTTTATTGGTTGAGTAAAAAGTGGTTGGAGCAGCCAGATCAGAACATTGATTGAAAATAATCCACGTTATACGACACGAGAGATCGCAGAGATAACCAACGTATTTCAAAAGACCGTTGTGAAGCACTTACACACGCTTGGCTGCGTGTCTCGGTACGATATTTGGGTACCTCACAATATGAGCGATAAAAAATTGATTGCATCTCCATTTGCGATTTATTGTTCAAACACAATGAAAACGTTCCATTTTTAAAGCGGATGATAATGGGCGATGAAGAGTAGATTAACAAGTGTATAACAATGAAGTATACTAGTATAGTATAACAATGATGTATATAACAATGAAGAGCGTAAAAGATTGTGGAGAAAACGAGATGAATCGCCGCAAATCACACCGAAGCAAAACATCCGTACGAAAAAAGGTCATGCTGTGTATTTGGTGGGATTGGAAAGGAATCGTGTACTATGAGCTGTTCCCGCAAAACCAAACCAATTGATTCCAACAAGTATTGTTCCTAATTGGACTGTTTGAAGACAGCAATCGATGAGAAGCGTCCAGAATTGAGCAATCGTTATGGTGTCATATTCTATCAAGAAAATTCTAGACTTCACGTATCTTTGGCAACCCGATAAAAATTATTGCAGTTTGGCTGGGATGTCTTGCTTCATCCTCCGTATTGGTCTGACCTAACACCATCAGTCTTCCACTTATTCAGGTCCTTGCAGAATTCCCTCAATGGAAAAGATTTCACTTCTTTGAAGGCCTACAAAAAGCATCTTGAACAGTTTTTCGCCCAGAAAACTGGGAACTTCTGGGAGGATGGAATCTTTAATTTTCCTGAAAGACGATAAAAGATTATCGAACGTAACGATGCATACGTCGATCATTAAATTTTTTAGTGCGAAAATGTTTTTGAATTTGAGAATATGAAGTTACTTTTTACTCAACCCAATATATAGTAACCGAAGAGGCAACTGGTCTCGCGCAGCCATTTGTCACCATGCCTGGATTATGCTTGTAACACGTCGCATTCGATTCGTACGTGTCGCGACTCCAGATTCCGCCACGTCACTGGTTAAACGAACGTCGACCGAAAGGCGAGCGCAATGTATACGCACGCGCGTAACACGACGAGTATAACACGAATAATGCATTATTCAAACCGCCGATTGTGTGCGCCGAGTTTCGGCCGGACAAAACCGACGCTGCTCGCGCCTCCGATCATATCGACGAGGCGCTTCGTCGTTACATTATCATTACATTATTTACTGCTTATTACATTACAAACGAGCAGCAGCTCAATACGATACGCATAATCGATTCCACTCGCAAACGCCCGAGCGAGTGTTTGCATTTCCGTCGCCTTCCGCTCAAATCGACCGGAGTTTACACACGAATAATTAATAATCTTACTGAGATATTCGAGTTTCTTTCGACCCAAACAATTTTGTTTTCCGTTGTTGCTATAAACTTATTATTGTATCATATTTTGGTTTCGTGACTTTGTGCTCCCGCTCGTAAGTTATAGATGGATGTTATATCATAAAATAAATTTTCTTTTTAACTGTATGTAATTTTTTTGTTTGACATGTTTATACACAAGATGTTGTTATATCTTTTGTCATTTTAGATCCATAGGTAAAATAATTATTTAATTATAAGCTGTATTAAAAGCAAATAATTTTCTTTTGTTTCTTATTTGATAATTTGTAGCCTCATATAGTATTCAAGGTCACACTGGTTGCTAGCTGCGGCAAAATAAATTACTCAAAATGTAATAAGTTCACTTGCAAAAATCAGTTGATTCATATTTGCAATATATGTTTCAGTGATATTAAGTAAATTACGTAACACAAAACTAAATTTAGTTGCATATCCAATACTTATTTATAACATCTAATATTTATTCTTATTTATAACATATATACATAGCTATAATTAAATTTTGTTATATTTTTCTTTATTTTTTTGATTACATAGAATTTAAATAAATTTGTAACATGTTTTGTAATGGTTATATTATCAATACTATTTTTTTGTTTTGCAATTTATTTTACAGTTTTATTTCTAAACAATTTATTCTGATTTTTACACAAGTATAGTTAACTGTATTATTATAGTATATAGTATATAGAATATCAAAATTCACAAGAACAGAATTATATTGAAATTATGCCGAAAAAAATCTTATTTTATGATTTTTCTTCTCGTATAAGTTATTTTAGACACAAACGTCTTATATGTAACTAAAATTTGAATGCTTATATGTCCAAAGTGATTTTGACAATGGAGTTAATTAAATTATAAACAGGACACTTTCTGGAGAGTCGTTAAATCTAAATTTGAAATTAAATTTACAAAAATCAAAATGGCGAATCCAATATGGTGGATCAAATATACAAAAGCCCCCCCTATTCTCATAACAATTTTTATTGAGAATGTTTCGAAAATGCTATTCTTAAATATAAAGTTAAATAAAAATAGAATCTTAAATATAAATAGAAAGTTATTTACTTTACATGAAAGTAGAATTTTAGAGATTTTTCTATTAATATAATTCAAATTAAAATTCCTTGTCATATGTTTTAATTCATGAATTTTTATTTTGAATTTGAAATCAGTGATTTCAAAAATTCTCGAATTCTAATTTTTACGTAAATTGAATGATTTTTTGAATTTCCGATTCGTTAGGTTGAATTTCGCAATTTTGATCTCGGATTTGAATTCAGCGATCCAGCGAAAGAATATAAAAATACTGTGTTCTGCTCCAATTGCTCTATTATATATATATATATATATATATTTTTTTTTAAGTACGGATATTTCTATCATCAACAGTTTAGGCTACTTTTCTTTCTACAAATATTTCCGTCATTAACAGCTAAGGGATTAATCTTTTAAGCCATACATTTCATTTCTCTTCAACGAAATTTTTTGAAATATGGTATCTAAGTATTTTCGGAGTCGGCGATTACGAATCTGAAGCCAGAATTTTAAAACTGGAAATGGCCCAATCCAATAGAGCAGACTAATTATTCAAAAATTTTAATTTTTCGATGGAATCTTTTCGTATTTAGAATATAAGTTTTTAAATTCTAAATTCGATTAAATACAGATAAATTTCTAAATTTGCTGAAAGAATTAAATAAAAAATAATATCAGTGTTTTAATAATATATTATAAAATGAGGCCTATGAAAAATTTTGAGAAATGTATAAAATATTGTTAAATGTCCTTAATAAACTGTTAATATTGCGATGCGTCGATT